TGCTTCTCCATGAGAATCCCACAAGACAAATTTGAATAAATGCCCAAATTGTTCAGTTCAAGGTCTATTTCTTCCCCTCTCCCACCCCACTACAGTCCCTTGAGAACAAAGACTATGCCTCATTCCCTGCCCTTCCCAATTTCCAGCCTACCAATATTCCAGGAGGACTTTCTATATACTAAGTGCTCTGTGGGTGTGATCCCTTTGGATATTGCATTAAATAACTGAACTAGGCACCATTATTATCCCTATTTACAGATGAGGAGACTGAGGCTCAGAGATATACATACCATGTAAAAAGTCACAGAGCAAGTATGTAATAGATTCTGGCTTGGAATCCATGTCTCTCTGATACCAAAGCTTGGGCACTTTAATGTATGTGATCTACCTGTTTTGTCCCTACACAGCAGTTAGTACAGAAAATGGCCACAGTGGCATGCACTGGACTGAAACAAAATGTGATGACGCCTACCTGGAAATAGGTAAAACTGTGTGATAGAGATAAAGCTTCTCAGCTGACATTACTGACTTCTTATCCCAGCGTAGGTTTGCATGAAGTAGCTCCACTTCCCAGGTTCATTTCAGCAGCGTAGCAATCCCATGAGGACTCCTGCTTGACGCCACCTGCAGAGCAGACTCCCTTCAGCCCTCTCCACTAAGCGCGACAGTCAGGTAGGACTCCTGTTGTCCAAAGCCTCCGTCACTACTTTCAGCTTCTGTTATTCTTGTTCCTTGAGAGGAAAACCGTTGTCTACTGGACATTTTTCAGATGTAATTGGCTCCCTACTTACCTTGTGTAAGTTACTTAACTCTGTTAGTCTCAAGTTTCTTAACTTTAAAAAGAGAATGAGTCCATGATAATGTTTTGTGAGTTTAACTGGGAGTGTAAATTAAGTGCTCAGGGCAGAGTCTGCCCCATCTCATTTCTACTCAGAAATACAGCTGGTCCTTGAACAAAACAGGTTTGATTTTGGTTCACTTATATGTGGATTTTTTTTTTTTTTACCAGCCATTTCACATTCATAAATGAAACCAAGTTCTGATGAATGTTGATTGGTTGACTCTCCAGTTGCAGAAAACCCCAGGCTCTGGGGCACCAACTAGAAGTCATATGCACATTTTAAACTGGGGGTAAGGATCGGGCACTGTGCAAGGGTCCACTCTAGTAGCTATTGTCAGTCTGTGATGGGAATTGAAAACTGATTACCGTTTTTACTTGGACAACATGAGCAATTGGAGGAAATGGAGGCATCCAAGAAAGAAGTCATGGAGTTTTAAGAGAACAAATAAAATTCAGTGTCATGGAAGCCATGGAAAGTGTTATCTTCAGATCCTATTTCCTAGTGATGTCTAAGAGTGTCTTGTATTTGGTAAAGTTACAGGAGATTTTCAGGATGTGTTTCTGTATAGAAGTGGAGATCAAGACAGAAGGCAGAGAAACAGAGCAAGGTCTAAAGGAAATAGTGGCAATTTTTTATGACTTTTAGTCAAGTTAGCAGAAAGAAAAGTTAGAGGGCAATCCGAGGGTGATGGGTTTATGTCAAGTAGATGGTTGGTAAGTGTTCAGTGATTAGTGGCTGAAAGAGCAACTGAGTGAAGAAGATGTTTGGGATTTGATGAAAAGATTTTGATAATATTGACATTGTTGGGTCTGTGGCATCTGTATGGCTTTTTGGTAATTGTGATAGGAGAAAATTGAGAGGTTTATACAATATTTTCAGTCCAAAAAAATCATTTACACGAAGCATTAGTAAAAATCCTTTCCTCTGCTACCCCTGTGGCTCTCCAAACTGCCAAACTTTTTCTGAAGGCCTCCAATTTGAGATCTGAAATAACATGCCAGTCAGTGAAGACCCAAGAATGCCAGATTAATGTTGGAAGCTGCTCATCAAGAATTGGGAAATGCAGAAATGTGAGTCTGAGAATTGAAATCCATTCAGGAGTGTCTTGAAATTCTTACACTCAAATTGAGTGAGGCCAATTGAAAACCATTTTCTGTTCTCACAGCCCATTCTCTGCCGCAGAGAGTGGGGACGCCATGAGTGCTGTTGGCCAGGTAGGCAGAAGAAACCTGAGCTTTGCAGGGCAGTGGTGAGTACCAGCCAGATCAGTGACTGCAGATCAGAACTTTCTACACCTTCCTGGGTACGGGATCCCCCAGGGATTTGGCCAAAATGCAGATTTTGCCCAAGTTCATCTAGAATGGGGCCTGAAAGTGGCTATTTTTAACAACTTCCTAAGTGGTGCTGATGTTTACACAGCTATCGCCTTCCTCTGAATAGCAAGGCTGAGGCTTTTCTGATGCTGGTCTGTCCACATCCACCATCGTGACATTTGGTGAACACTCGAGACTGTATTTGTGTCAATTCAGCTTTCTCCTCCCCTTCTCTAACCCGCTACCTCTACCCACTCCCTGCCCTGGGAAAATGCAGTAAATAGAATAGTTGCTTATAATGCTGAGTTCACAGCTTAAGGATTTTTTTTCTCTTTGTTTGCTTTGGTGGGGGTAGGGGAGATGTTTTTCTTCATTTCTGGATCCTGGACTCTTTGATTTTTTTTTTTACCTTAATGGTTTGGCACAAGCCCACTTTTGTTGACTTGGTATTTCCTCTGTGGATAAACTTTCTGGCTTTGGAAAAAGCCTTCTTTTCTGAGGCACTTATAACCTGCAGGATTTCCATTTAGCTTAATTGGCATATTTATGTATTGAGATGGGTGCCTAGAGGGCTTGGGCCACAGCATCTTTTGTATAAATCGAAAAAAATGAAATGAGCTGTTCTCACAGTTGTGTGCCCTTCAGTCATGGAGCGCAGTAAAAGGCTCATCATTTACAGGCTGCGAAAGCTCAGGAAGATCAATAGGCATAATGCAACCCGGAGTCATTTAGAAAAGCAAAACTCAGGATTTTCAAAGCCCAATTATTTCAGAAGCTTGGCCATTACTAATTCCCTGTTAAATCCTTCCCAGGCCGTCATTCCCTGTGTTAAGGAATGGCCTTCTCAACTCCTGATGAATCGTTCTCTTAAGGTTAAGCCAGAGAGCCTTCTCCTGAGAGTCAGACAATTTGTAAATTGTGAAGCCATGACTGTTCCTGGCCAGCCCCCTCCGATCAAGGCCCAGCTGCAGACTGTCACTTTTCAAGTCACTTCTGAAGCCTTGCGTGCTTTGGAGGCAAGTAGGGGAATTGATTCTTATTGGTTTAATATAGCTATGGTTAATGGCTTATAGATTTTTATATAGTCTGGCTCCACTAGGCATGTCTATTAAGTCTCTATTAAGGTTGACAGAGGAGTGAGAAGGTCAAAGGTCCTGGGACAAATGCCTGGCTTTCCTCCAAGCCAGGCTGAGAAATGTCTCCTTAACAAGAATTCTTATGATGTCCTGAAGATTGAACAAGAGAGAGGAATGGTGGCAGTTGGTGGAATCTGGCCTGTGAGCTCAAGAATACATTTCTCAAGAGGGGCAGAGTAGCACAAATACCTTGCTAGGATGAGCTGATGAAAACAAATACAGTTGAACCAACTGCCCTAGGAGCGTTTAGCTTTTGCCAAGATGGGTTTAGTGGGTTAAAAGGTGGTCCCATAAAAGGTCTCCCTGGAAACTGTGAATGTCACCTGATTTGGAAAAGGGTCTTGCAAATGTAATTATCTCTAGAAGTAACCTTCCTGGATTAGCCAAGTGGCCTCTAAATCATAACAAATTGTTCTTATAACAAGAGCAGAGGACACAGACAAGGAAGAAAGGTTTTGTGAAGGAGGCAGATCAGAGTGAAGCATCTGCAAGGCCAGAATTTCCAAATCACCCCAAACCCCAAGTTAGAAGAGAAACATGGAACAGAATTTCCCTGACAGTCTCCAGAAGGTACCCGTCCTGCTGACAGCTTGATTTTGGACTTCTGGCTTCTGGAATGGTGAGAGAACTCTTGCTGTTGTTTTAGGTCTGTGTTTGTTGTGATTTATTACAGCAACCCATGGAAACTATATACTAACTGACTCCTCAGGCTGCTGGTTCCCTTCTCCCAAATCAACCCCAGAGAAACTCGACAACCAAGAGCAAAGATGTGCTCTTGCTTAAAAAAAAAAAAAAATGGACAGACACTATTGATACAAAAAAGTGTGAGCTGTCCCTGAGGACTGAAAGTTGTTTTGTTTCGTGGCTGCACAGGTGGGTGGCTACAGCCAGAAGGGTGGCCAGAGGCAATAGTGAAAAGAGAAGTTGCAGGAGTCTATTAAATTCTGCACTTGCCTCTCCCCCCATAACTTGGAGAAATCAGTGACTGACTCTTCATTGCAAAAATCTTTGTAATTGCCAGATTTTCTGTATAACATGGACATGGGGACAAAATCCTTGAGGAGGAGGGTACTGAATGAAAGGAGGCATAGGTCAGCATAGTCTTAGAGGGCTCACTCCTCTCCTCCTCCTTCTACCCCAAAGCTATTGCTTATAACCTAGAGAGAAGACTCCTTCCCCACAGTGCTGCTCCTCAAGTTCTTGAGGTTGCTTTCCTGACCAGAGTATTGCCTAGTAAGATGGTGGTAAATAACAAAGATCCACGTGGTTTTGTGGTGCCCAGGACTGCACCGTGGGTCTCATCTTTCTTTCAAACTCAGCGGAACTCACACAGATGAGCTCTTCAGATTCCATCCAAAGCAGGATTGCTGGAACAGACAGTTAAAATGAACGTGAAAAATATCTGTGAGGAAGGATGTTACATGTATGAAACTAGAAATCAAAAAAGAACCAGCTAAAAAATCCTAATATATTAAATAGAAAATATAATAGATGGCATGAATAATGGGGCAGAGATAGCTAATGAATGAATCCATGAACTGGAAGAGCAGGTGGCAACACATAGAAAATGAGCTGATAGCTTTCACAGATAAAAAACACCTATGTAAATTGAAAATAAAACCCCTTAACCCTACAATTTTTAAATATTCAAAGGATATGAGCAAAAATAACCAATGGAAATAGAAAAAGCCAAGAAACATGAAAAAGTCAAGCTTGCTAGTAGTAAATAAAATAAAGCAATGAAATACTGCTTTAAACTCAATTTGGAAAAGATGTAAGGCAATTGCAGGCACACCATTCTATTATGTCTCGCTTTATTGTGCTTTGCAGGTACTGTGTTTCTCACAAATTGAGGGTTTGTGGCACCCTGCATTGAGCCAGGCTATTGGCACCATTTTTCAGCTGGATCAGATGGTTAGCATTTTTTAGCAATAAGGTATTTTTTAATTAAGGCTTGTGCAGTATTTTTTAGACATAATGTCATAGCATGCTTAATAGACTGCAGTACAGTATAAACATACTTAAGTCCACGTTATCTTCAAGTGACATCTTTGATGGAGGTTTAAATAGAAATCTCACTAGGAATTTTGGGTTTTATCAGTGATACAGATTTTAGTATAATGCCTGAAATGGAGACTTGATCGAAAACTTAGAAGACAGAGTACGAATACACTGGGTTCCTAGAGATGAGACCAAGTGTTACGAAGGAGGGGCATTGACTCAGGCACTCTTATAAATTGCTGGCTTACAAAATCTGTGGGCAGCAATTTTAAAACATGAATAAAGATCCCCTTGATCTAGTAGCTAGAGATCTATACAGCAATACAGGTAAAGATTTGTGATATCTATTGACTTTCCCACCTCTGCTCTGTCAGGGGAGATTTTCTTCACCTCTTCTCCCTTCTTCTTGCTCTCATTGGCAAAGTCTCTCCATCGACCCATTCTGGGACCAATAGTAACCTTCATTCAGGTTTTGCTAAAACTACAAGAAGGGCAATTGTGTTCTGGCATCATCTTGAAGGATGAAGTAGCACCTTAAGGATGCAAGCCTTGCCCCAAGTTGGTGAGGCATAAAAAAGGATCCTACCTTCCTCTGGCAGTACCAGACTTGCACTGCCTGCCTCTGGATCTTCTTTGAATATCAAAAACCATAGGCCTCTTCTGTTTAAGTCACTTAGATCACATCCCTGATTACCAGCTGTCAAATGTAATTTAAAGCTAAAAGCTTTTAATAAAAGCTTTGAACGTCGTCAGCTCCATTCACCAGCACACTTGCCATAAATTTCTCTTTGGTTGCAGCATTTGGGTGAGTCTGACACTCATTTCCTGAAATACTATGAAACTTTCATTAATCACCCAGTAGTTCATTTTCTAGTTAAGTTTTTCAGAGCAGGTTGTTCTGTAGCAATTCTGGAGCAGGTAGTCGATGATGCATGGTGAGGTCCTGTCCAAGTAATACACAAGAGTGAGCAGATGTGGGCTTTAAGTTAAAATGGAAAGAACATCTGTAAAATGTATTTTGCCTGGTTTTTTAAATGTAACTCAACCTCCCCCTGATGACTCTTACTGGTCTCCAAATGTAGGCAAAGGAAACAACTGATAAAAAATAAGGGCAGGCCAATCAGTATCAGTGACCAAAACACACGATTACCTAAACACAAAGTATCAGGCAGTGGTCCTCAGGAGTGCGCCTGTTGTGACACAGCTTCAGCAACACCAGGAAGACTGTAGCTTCCTCTCAGGTAACACAGGCAACAGAGATGCCTGGACTTCCTTCCATGAATTAGATCCTTGTTGGGAAAGAGCTGGAAAGAAAAGATTCAGATTGTTAGGGACGCTTAGAGAGTATCCTTGTTACTAAAACCCACTCCACAAATCTGAGGAATTTGAAAAGGAGTGTACTTCTACTCAAAAAGCTGCAGCTCTGAAATTGATGGTTACTAGCCTCACATGTCCCTCTTGACAGCTTCACTGTATCCTTCACCAAATCTCTTCCCTGTGTAGGTGCTCCCCACTCTGCTGAGTCTAAATAAAAGTAACAAGGATTATATTAGCAAGTAGAGTCTTATAAAATAGATTTGGATGAAAATGTTTCCTAAAAGCAAACAATTAGTGGGAAGAGGGAGAAGAGAATGCGGAATAGCCAGGACACTCTTAAGGAGGAACACGATGGGAGAATTTGCTCTAACAGAGCCAAGATTAATTATAGTACTATACACATTAAAACAGTGAGGTATCTGTGCAAGAATAGACAAGTAGACAGTGGTACAAAGTAGAAAACCCAGACATAGATCCATGCATAAATCATCACTCAATTTATAACTAAAGAACCACTGCAAAGTCACAGGGGAAGGATGTCTTTTTTAAATAAAATGTGCTATAGCAATTGAATATTAAATGAAAGAAGGTAGAAAGGGATAAGAAAGGAAGGAAAGGAAGAAGGGAAGGAGGGAGAGAAGGGGAGAGTGAGGAAGGGTCTTGATTCCTACTCCCAACGATATACAGAAATGAGCTCCAGAGGATTAAAGATCTAAATGTGAAAGGTAAAGCAATAAAATTTTCAGAAAACAATCAAGTAGAATATATTCATCATCTCATAATCTGTTGAACAGAACAGAGAGCACAGGGGTGCTTTGGTGGTGGGAGACTATGGTGACCACACCTTAGGGGAGAAATCCTATACTGTCAAAAAATTAACAAGGAAGTAAGAAAACAGTACTTCATTAAAATATATATAATTTTTAAAAATCTGCTTATATATTCTTCATATTCTTTTTCATATTGACAAGATTCTGTCTTTTTTAACATAATAAATAAAATATTCCAATTTTCTGAAAGAAAATTGGAATAAATGATAATGCTGTAAATTGAGTAAGATTTATGAGCTATATTATCTGTATCATTCCAGGCACTTTTTAAAATACTGAACTGTCACCAGTCCCCCCTGGCATAGGGTGAGACTTCACTTCATGTACCTCTCATCTAATACTTGGGTCTTCTCCCTCAAATCCCAGGAAGTATTATTAGAATCTTCTATGCTTGAACACCTCTGGTGATGGGAAGTCACTGCTGTCAGTGACGTTGCTTCATCTTTCAACATCTGTGACTGTTCTGTTTTTTGAACCTAATTCCAGTTCTTTCTCTGTCACTTCCTGATCCTAGCTCAGCGACTGCACCATGTTCACACTGTCCAGTCTCAGCCTGGCAGCCTCAAGGCGGGAGCAGCACACTCAGCCCCTCCCAGCTCCAGGAGCCCCGCTGCTCCGTGTGTTTAAACATCCCCAGGTGTTTCTGTGTGCTTGACATCTACATCCCAGGCCCTCAGCATCCTCGTCACTCTGCTTATATAACTCCAGTTTGTCTGTATCCACTTTAAAAATGTGATACTGTGAACTGATTACAACTTTACAGAGATCTGCCTTGCCCAAAACACAGTAAACCCGTTATTGCTCTCATTCTAGATATTATACCATTTCACTTAATCTAACCTAAAAATGCCAAAATCAGCCTGGCAATTATCAATCCATTAGATGACAACAAGTTTATGTGCCAGTGTGTATCTAGAAATTGGTTGGTCATGGAAGGATAGCAGGTTTATAACTTAATTGGATATGAGAATGGCCAGTTATTTTTTAAATGGGGTTAGTCTACAGTCACCACTAGTCTGAAAATACACCATTTGTGAGGTCCTCAAGCGTCTTTGGTGGGGCAGGGGTAGGGTAATAGCGAGCCTTTGGTATGCTGGTCCAGGCTCTCAAAACTCCAGGAAAAAGAAAAGAAAATGTCTGTCTGGCCATTTCTCCTTGATCACTGCTTGCTTGCTCCACCTACTGGCGTCAGTGTCTTTTACAGTTTCTTAGATTTCAACCCTATTAAATGATACTTGGTTCCTGGAACCAAGTCTGTAGTTTGCAGAATTAATTGTATCTCTTAGAAAACTTGCATGGTGCACATTTCCCACTTACTGACCTCTGTTACTCACATTACCCATGAAGTTACAAAAGCCCTGCCAGCAGCATTTCCATCTCTGTAAACTACACCTTGATTTGCCTGGGCTGGGAAGCACAAACAAAGGCAAAATAATTCAACATCCTTACCCATTTTGCACATGATGAGAAAGAAAATTTGCAAAGAAATTATTAATAAAGCATCAACTTTAATTTGTACTATTCTATATACCCTTATCACATAATTCACTCATGACACAAAACAAGTGTTTTGCAGAGTAATAATGTGAAATACAGGTTTTCTATTTCCATAATTCAAAATAAGGACACATTTGTTTTTATTAAATATTTTCTAGCCTATATAAGAGGCAAAATGTGTTTGCATTCCATAAAATTAAGATACTCATACGTATTGTATTATCTATAGAAGGTAGTAGATAAATCTTATTTTTTTTAAGTTTATTTTCTTACATCATTGTTCATTTGGGAGAAGTATTTGATTTCTCCCATCAGGTGTAGTCCCCATAGTTCTTTCACCACCACAGCACCAGGATCCATCTCCCCTGTCCCTTATGTTCCTCCCTTCCCTGTTTTGACACCTCTTCCTTGCTATATGCCGCAGATCTATGGTCAGCTTACAAGTTTTGTCTTTTTGCTGATCCTTTGTTCATATCCTCTATATTCCACATATAAGTGAAACCATTCAGTATTTCTATTTTTCGAGAAGGTAATAGAGAAATCTTAGTGCTTCAGCAGTATGACAAAAAGAAGGAGCAGGAGAGGAAGATTTGGTGGGGTAGGGGTAGGGTGATAGCAAGGAGAGGTGCGAAGGAAAAGGGAATGCTAGATCTCTGAAACAAACTCATTTCTTCTTTAACTTGAGCCTGGCTAGTGTGTGTGTGTGTGTGTGTGTGTGTGTGTGTGTGTGTGTGTGTGTGTGTGTGTGTGAGGTTTTGCTCCATTCAGTTGGTAAAATGTTTGAAAGACTTGTGAAAGAGGCATCAAGCCAAGGATTATTAACCTGAGGTCTTCCAGTCTCCAAAATGTTCTTGGACTGAATTCAAGAGATCCATGAATCGTAATGGTAAAAAAGAAAATAAACTACTTCTTTATTTTTATTAACTTCTAAGTGAAAATTAAGCAATGTGAACAAACATGATTGCAAGCTACAAATGCCACATTACAATTGTAGATTTCTTAAAATAATATTTTGCTCCTTACTATTTTACCCCTGGATCTTATTATTTACTGAATTAATAAGGAAGCACATATATTACTATATTTCACATTTTCTTAAATATTCTGATAACTACATTTCAACATAATTGGTTTCCTTGGTAATACTTTAAATTTTGTTTTATGCATTTATAAACACATTGCTGAAACACACAGCTTTCCTGCCCACCTGACTATGCAGGTACCTCTCTTTTTCTTTCTCCTTTTCCTAATAAACCTTTACATTTAAAATGTAAAAAAAATAAATAAATCAAAATGCATTGCTGAGAAAGCAGACTGCCTAAGGGACTGAGAACCCTGTAAACTCTGTCAAGAGCCGATTGGAAAGAATAGAATCCTTGAAGTTATTCTATGCCAGGGGAGGGGAGCCTGCAGAATTGCCTAAGAACAGATAGAACCACATTCACACGGCTCCAGGCTCTTGACTTTTGGAGAGATTAATAATAACCAGGACTCTGCTTTCTAACTTGCTAAGAATCCTGGGGAGTAATTGATGGTGTGGGGCTGTCATTGGCAGGCATTTTAGGGGAAATGGTGCCATCTGGTGGCCTATGATTCTCCTCTGCTGCATGCGGCTGGCTATTCATCCTGTAAAGATAGGAATGTAACACACATTGGCTTTTAGAATGGTCAGTGCAAAGCCCTAGACCTTCTCTTCCCAATGCAAGTGTTCAGTCTTGCCAGATCCCAGTTTTACAGCTTCAAGGCTCAATAATACTCTTGCAAAGTTCTGCAAAAGCAAATTTGACGTCTCCTCTTTAGAATTGTTTGGCAGGGAGAAGTGATTGGCAGTGTTTGAATTCCACTTCTCACAAAGCTGCAAAAACAGTGAAGGTCCCTCTCATCTCAAAAACATATTTTCACTTGTGGTAGTGCCTGGAGCGTTTCAAATGAAAGGTGCACAAAGAGATAGGAGGGTTTGGAGGGAAGTCATTGCAGATTGTCTGGAGGCTTCAGGTGATGGTGCTCTTAGTAGAGTCTGTTTCTGACATACCCTGGATTTATTTCCATATCTCCATTAATGTGTCCTTGAATCCTCTGCTGTAATGCTGGCTCCTTCCCTGGACTTTGCTACTTCTCACCACTTCCACCTCTACCCATCTCAGATCTTCTCAGATTCTCCCACCAACTTCCTGATTAATCTCCCTTGTTTAATTTTGTCCCCTCCCCACAATTTTTTCTCACCATAGCAGAGAAAGTAATTATAATGTCATGTAAACAGGCTTGCAGATAATTCTCATATGTAATCTCCTACTGCACTCACCCTCACCAACAATATTGGTCTCCTTACCATTCCTTGGCAAATTAGGGATGCCTCTACCTCAGGACATTTGCACTTGCTATTCCTTTGCCTAAACTAGCTTTCCTCCAAATACCAACAGGGTTCATTCCCTCAATTCTTTCACAGGGTCAGAGACCTGTAACACTTCCATATTTTTTCTCCATATGCTTGTTACCATCTAACATTCTACATATATTTTACTTATTAATCTTTTATTTTCCTCCTCCTGCTAGGACACCATTTCCGTGAGGGTAGTGATTGTTCTCTTCAGTTTATTTTGGTATCCTAGTGTCTAAAAGGGCACTAGTCCCAAAGCAGAAAACCCAATGTGTTGGATGAAAGAGTCATATTTCCTGCCATCAGGAAGCGACACCTGCAGCAAAATCTGCTCCCTAGCCTCACCCAGGCTTTCCTGAGGGTCATCCAAAGACCCTCAAGAGCTATAGCAGCTTTCCTTGATGGCATTAAAGCAAGCCCTTGAAAAGTAGAATGAACCAAATCTACTTTTCATGTCAAATTTGAATCAAACTTGGAGCACAAAGATCACTAAATTATAAGTTTTGACATATTAGTCTGGGAAAAGCAACTATATACATTGACAATGTTTGTATAGAATTGCTGCATTTGAATTTTTGTGGGGACTTTTAAAAATATCAACATAGACCCCTCTGCTAAGACTTTCTGACTCCATTAGTCTGAATTAGTGTTCAGGCATTCCCCAAAGAAGAAAATACCTCTTGTTCTTCAAAGCATATTGAAATGCAGTAATGAGACTGAATTAATGCCTCAGTAAATTACTCTTCCATGCCACTCACTTCTGATTTTCAGACAGTGGTTAATTTTTCTCAAAAGCTCCTACTTGAAATATTTGAACAAACGGTTAGATTGTATTTACCTTATTTTTTAAAAGCTACTAGGTGATTGTAATGTACCAGCAGAGGTGAGAGACACTAGTTCAGTACTTCACAACTGGCAAAGCCCTTGGATGCTTTGTCACATTTGCTTCTCACAAGTCCACGTGACAGGTGAGATTGTCCCTATTTACTGGAGCTAGTGAACCTAACTCAGTTCAGGCCTCAAAGCCAGCCCTCAAAACCTCCGCCCCAGTGGCCTCCCTGGTGGCGCAAGGGTTTAAGGCACAACCTATGAAGCGGTCCGTAGCCACTGCAGCATGAGTTTGATCCCCGGCCAGCCAGGGAGCAACCCACATGGCGCAGCAGACCTACACACTCAGCAGTGTATTTCAGTCATTCTGCCTGTTCTGTGCCCCACTCTGTCTTTGGTGAATCCTCTCACCACCCACCCATACCCCCAACCTCTGGCCTGTACTCCAGTTCTTGTGTGCATAAATAAAATAAATCTTAAAAAAAAAACAAAAACCAAAAACCTCTGCTCCAGTGGGGCAGAATGAAAGTCTTTTCACACTGGGATTGTACAGACATATATGACAGCCTCTACTGCTCCTTAATAATGTATTTCTGATTGCATTTCACTGTGTCTTTTCTATCACTGCAGAACTTAAAAGCAGAAACTAGGCTGCCATCTGTCCTCCCACCCTAGCACATTCTAGCCCCATCCTCACCCTAAATTTTTCATTGAGTGAATGAATGAATGTACAAGTGAGTACAGTCTTGTCTTTGGCCCATTTGCTTTATTGTACTCAGCATATTCATTGCAAGTTTGGGCTTTCTTGTCCTGCGTTAGTGGCTACACTGCCCAGTGAGTGTCATGCTCAAATGCCCAAATGCTCACCTTTTCCTCAGGTCACAGGAGCCACCAGGAACTTTTTATCCATAACACAAACCTTTTATCCTTAACATTTCTGCACTGAAAAACTGACCTAATCACTGGTTTGAAGAACATAAATGTATAACTGCTCAGTAATCCCCACGCAGCAGATTGCCATAAGTAAGTAGGTCTCGGTGGAATAATTCTTTCCCAGGAGGCCAGGATGGAAGGGAAGAATGATATTTATTAAGATGTTTTTACTGATCAGTTTCTTTCCAGATGAATCTAATGGCTCCCCACAAACTGGAAAGGTCCTTCCACCTGCTGGTGATAATGTCATAGTCACGTTACCAAGTCTGTGAATGGAGCCTGTGAACCAGGGGTTCTCGGCCCAATTGACATTTGGGGCTGGATGGTGATGGGGGGAAAGGGACTGTCCTGTGCATTGTAGGATTGTAGCAGCATCTCCAGCTTTACCCATGACATGCCAGTAAGCACACCACCTCCTGATGGTAGTTAATTTTCTGTCAACGTGGCTGGGCCACAATGCCTAGCTATGTTGTCAAATATTATTTTGGACATTTCTCTGAGGGTGATTTGGGATCAGATTAAGATTTAAATTGGTGGATTTTGAATAAAGCTAATGGCTGTCCATCCTGTGGGTAGGACTCATCAGTTGAAAAGTGGAATAGAATAAAAGACTGATTTCCCCAAGCAAGAGGAATTTGGCCAACAGATGGCCTTTGGACTTTATCTGCACCCTTTGGACTTTATCTGCACCCCTCCCCCAGGTCCCCAACCTCATGGACTTTTGATTTTGGACTTGCCAGCCACCATAATTGTGTGAGCCAGTTCTTTAGAACCAATCTCTCTGTGGGTTTATATAATATAATCAGTCTCTCTATATACACACAGACCCTATTGATTTGTTTCTCTGGGAACTTTGATTAATACACCCCAGTAGTAACAACCCAGAACTCCCTAGGCATTGCTAGGTGACTGCATGGAGGGCAAGGGAAGGAGGGCCAAGGCTGTCTCAGTGGCGCATCAGCAGTGTGGACAGTGAAGCTGGTGTTCTCTCAGGCCATGTTCCTAGAGGACCCGAACATGGTGAGAATAGTCCAAACCTAGTGGGAGCTAAAGTGTCCCCTGGGAGGATGTGTGATTCTGTTAGGGCTTGTCCCAAGCCTACCCTCTCAGCAGAGGTCCTAAGGTCCTGGACTTCTTAAGCTGAAACTAATCAGATCTAGCTTTGAGTTGCAACATTCTGCCACGTAGAAAAAAATGTATCATATATACCTGAATTTTACTTCAAAGAAAAATGAAGGTGAATCACCTTTGAATCCAATCCTCACAAACCCTCTTTTTTAGAGAGTTCTCTCTTAATTAGTTGAAAATTACCATATTGATTGTAGAAGAGGAGCCATAAACTAGCTTGGTCCATGCAGATTTTGGATGTTTATGGAGGACACCTATATTAGATTTTAAAAAAGAGAGGCAAAGAGAAATGATAGTCATTATTCCTGAGTTGTAATCTTTAATAAGTTCTTTCTTACATTAAAACAGTATGGGTCACTCCACAAGTGCCTCTATTGATGACAATGATACTTCCTTCAAAAATGAATATGAAAATGAAATATGAGAGTAAGAACAAAATCCCTAAACTTGTATATTATTTTAAATGTGACTTTAAATAGGTACATGTCACTAAATAAGTATTACAAGGAGATGTTGGCTAGTTCACCTATAGCTGTAAAAGTTTAATGAATCAAGTTGGCCCAAAGGCACTACTAGGATTCTCTTGTTGAGCGGAAGGTGCACATATATTCAAGCATATATGGTATTTGCTACACTCAGAGGGTCCACAATCTTCTTTCTTCTCCCTCTTCCTCCTGAGCCTTTCTGCTCTTTGCCTTTTTCTCCAGTTCCCTTTGCCATTCTTCTCCTCTCTTCTGTGTTTTTTTTTTTTTTTTTTTCTTTCTGGGCTTTCTCGTCCTCCATTCTCCTTGTCCATTGCAAGTATGTGCCATCTAAAGTTAGGGGACCACATTCCAGGAGTCCCCCCTCCCAGATCCTGCCTCCACTTTACCTCTCATCTGCTACTGCCTTCTAGGCCTGCAGGGCGTTCCATCTTCATACTTTAGCTTCATTCTTCCAGGAGCCTGGTTCTTCTTCTTTGTTTAAGTCTGTTTTATTTTCAAGTGGGGGGGGGTAGTTCAGGAGAAAGGGGGAGAAATGCCTCTTATTCATTTAGTTATGAGAAAGAGACTGAATTAATATTTCAGTAAATGATTCTCGTGCCTCCATTTTGCATGAGTCCTCAAAAGTTTCTGTGTGAAATCTTTGAACAAACTGTTAGATCATGCTTACCTTATTTTTATCTCAGCTATTCCTAGGTAGTGTTTCTTGATTTACTAATATAGAATCTTCAGTCTTTTGGTGCCATGAGAAAGACTTTGGGGCTCCCCATGGCTTGGCTGCAGGTCAGAGCCCTAACTGGGCCCCTCCCTTCACACTCCAACCATCTCATAGCTAGTCAGAGTCTCTCCCAACTTCTCATCCCCTTTCCCTGTTATCTTTCACAGGCTATTCCCCACAGAAATCTCTTACATTTCTCTCTTTGGTTTTGCTTCCCAGAAAACTTAAAGTAATATAATTGGTACCTGAAGTGGTGCCAGAAAAGTTGACATTAAGATTTGGTCTTGAGAATGGATCATTCATCTTAAAAGGCCAAGGAGGGTCCTAACCCAACAGGTATGTGTGGTAAACTAGTTCTTAGTGCAAGATGGTTGCTCAACTAGTGAAAAATCATCTCTGCTATCCAGGGGACATCTGCTGGAGAGGATGCTCTTCCTAGTGCCATAGCTGAGGCATGTGAAAGCCACAAGTGCAATGCATATAGGGACGGAGAAGTTCTATGATTCCTTGTAAAGTGACAGTAAGAATTATAAGCAGTTAGAAACCTAAATGCCAGTGGAAGAGTCTGAGGCCACTCTGGTAGCTTATAAAGGGCTTCTGTCTTCTGCAGAGGAAGAAGCCAATGTGCAGAGCAAGTGCAAGATTTCAGTTATAAATGCCTAGAATTATTGAAATGCTCAGCCACGGTCATCTATTAGACTGAAGCCAGTGACCCCACAGAAAATTTGAGACCCAAAAATACACGATGGGGACATGGGAAGGTGCCCCCTAAAGACTTTGGCTGCACTGAATGTCCTGAGGATGCAGATCATGCAGCAGTAGCCCAGTCCTTATTCAGAGCTAGGCTTCCCTTTGTGCAAGAAAACACTGTAGAGGCCTCTCCGCCAGACTACACCTGCTCCCCACTGCTGCCCTCCCCCCTCAGGAGCTCCCCACACTTTCTCTCCTGGCTGCCAGGTCAATAACTCAGGTTAATCCCAGCATAACCCAGTTGGGGATATGCTGGGCCTGGTGAGGGAAAAGATACTACACCCCAAAGGACACAGAAGAATTGGCAAGCATGTACTTCCAAGAGCAGGACAGCACCCAGGGACTGGATTATGGGGGTGCTTAAGCAAGGGGCTGGAAGGTAACAATGAACAAACAGGAAAACACTGACTTGGGGTCACAATCTGGGACATGAGATTAAACACCCTGGTGAGGATCAAGGGAGATGGAAAAATACATTACTATGTGGTTTTCTGAACCTAGACAGCACAGGTGAAATGCCTGCTACCATAGCAGATGGCAAGATAGAAGCGAACAAGTAGAAGGAAAATAGGATCCGTTCACATTCCTTGGAATGAACAACAATATTCATTTACCGTTTTGCTCCAGGGCTATGTTAGCTCGCCCACCTTCTGTCTTAATATAGTCCGAAGAGATCTGGACCATCTGGCCATCCCACAGAATATCACATTGATCCATTACATCAATAAAATAAAGGCATGTATAATGTGCTAGGGATCTTGGTAAGAAACATGTGTTGCAGAAGACTGAAGACAAACTATGAAGATTCAGGATCGGGCCACTTCAGTAAAGCTTTCAAGAACCCTAAAAGCTAGGACTGAACAGAAGAAAGTGCCCATTTTTAGGTCAGGAGCATGCCAGGACATCTCCCCAAAGGGAAGACACATTGCTGCATCTTGTATTCCCTTTGACAAAAAAGGAAGTGCAATACTTGGTAAGTCTCTCTAGATTCCGGAGGTAACACATTCCACACCCAGGACTCTTGCTCTGGTCCATACACCAGAGGACATGCAAGGCTGCCAGCTCTAAGTGGGGCCTGCATTAGGAGAGAGCTGGCTAGCAGATCTAGGCTGCAGGGAAAGCAGCCTTGCCCACTTAAGTAAGAATGTCTTGCAGATCCTTTGGTGAGGGTAGTATGAGTGGTGAAAAAAGGATGCATGAAGAGTTCATGGTAGACCCAAGTAGGAAGATCCCAATCCAAGACCTTGGGGTTCTGGGGCAAGGTGATGCCATCTGTAATGGTAATATTATGCTTCTCAAGAGCTGTTTTCTTGCTCTGTGCCCTGTCAGAGCTAGTATCATCTACAGGTACCAGTGACAATGTATTGATTACTGCCCATTATCAACTGAGCCCTACCTCACAAGTCAGATGGGCCCAACAAATATTCATTATAAGAAGGAACTGGTGTATCAGGGGGCCTCCCCGGTGGTGCAGCGGTTGAGCACTGGGCTGTAAAGCTGCCCGCAGCCTCTGCAGTGCCGGTTCGATCCCCAGCCACTGGCAAGGGTCCACATGGCGAAGCAGACCTCTCTTGCCATGCCCGTTGCTCCCCTCAGCAGTGTATTTCGTCAGTCTGCCTGTTCTGTTCCCTGCTCTGGCTCTGGTGAATTCTTTCACCCTCCAACGCTTCTGACTGTACCCTGGCACTTGTATAAATAAATAAATAAATCTTTTAAAAAAAAAAAAAAAAAGAAGGAACTGGTGTATCAGGGATTGAAGATCATACAGCATGAGTTGGTTGCATGAACAGAGAGCCAGGATGCCCATGTCACCCCCATGGTTGCAGCAGCCTCCCTTCCTCAGCTCTCACCTATGACCCAAATGGCAGGTGGCCATACCAACAGCTGGAGTAAAATGCCCAAGCATAGTATATGGATGAGCTTACTTGGTTTGTAGGTTCAAAGTGAAACTAGACAGCAGAAGATCGCCCCATTCAGGCTGCAATTCACAAGAGAGGAGATCTTCCAACAGGCAAGCATTGCATGTGGCACTCAGTTCATGTGGAAGAAGTGGCCCAAGGTAGAACATATAGCGCTTCCTAATCACTGGTCAGTAGCCCAGCCAGGAGCCTGGAAGGAAAGGACAATGGAAGCTAAGATGGTCCAGGGTAAAGACATGTAGATGGACTTATGGGAGTGGACACAAAACATGTGTCCACATTTTCGCACACATACCTATTTATAAACATCTACCATGAATACTGAACCAGGTAGACAAAATGACTCAACCAGTGGACATTACTTTTTGTCTTGGGCATGAAGGACACATCAGTGGAGAGACCAGGATGGTGGATGGAGGCTATATATGGAACCAGCAACCACACAATGAACTTCTGCTTCCCACGGCCAATCTAACTACTACTTCTGAATGTAAAAACTGACAGCAATAGAAACTAATGCTAGTCCCTATATGGCACTACTTTCCAAAGAAACCAACAGGTCAACTGGTAGTTCGTTGACATCATTGGGCTCCTTTCATTCTGGAAGGGTCAGCAGTTTCTCCCCATAAGGATAGAGGCCCAGTCCAAGTATGTGCTTCCCTTTCCTATCCACAAAGCCTCAGCCAGCACCACTGAGCACAAGCTTATGAAGTGCCAGACCTAGGGACACAGAATCCTACCTAACATAGCATCTGAACAGGGGCACACTTCACGGCAAAGGGGCTGCAGGAGTGGCCATGCAATCCACAAGCCATGGCACATACTGCCCCGTCGAAGGCTGCCGCGGACCAGCACAGCAGTGAACGATGAGGCCGTCTCAGGGTTGAGAGACTGCGCAGGGTGGTCAGGGATTCGGCTGAAGAAATGACAAACAGACACACTTCAAGAGAGAGTGTAAATCTGAGTGCCATTTTATTTGAGTTAGTTGCCAGTATATATACAGGAGCAGTGAATGGATTTAGCTTATCTCTGAGTGTTTTACATCTGGACCCAGCCTCTTTCTTAAGTAGATAATCCATTAGTTTTGTTTCCAAGCTATATGATCCATTTTTTGTTTTACTAGCTACTTTTTCACTTAAACTATATTTTAATTATTACAGGGTTTAGTAACGTTTCATTTGGGTCAGCCTTGTGTTAAGGATTCCATATGATTTTTTAATTAACAACAAATGACCTTTATAGAAGAAAGAAGGAAGTTTTAGAAAGACAATGAAGGGATAAAGTTTGTAGTTCTAGAAAGACGAGATAAGGTTTTAGCTCCTGGTGGTCGTAATCCTTTGATAGGCTTCTGTCTTATCCATGTCTTCAGGGAACTTTGCTGTACTCCCCTGCCTCAGGGAGTTTTTGCTGTTCTCCCCCTGTGTGCTGGTTCCTTGCCCAGCCGACCTAGGGACCTTGGCGAAAGCCATTAGCCCTAAAGGTCACTGCAGGGGGAGGTGCAGCAGAAGGCAAAAGGAAGCACCAGATCAGAGACAATAATCTGCAAAAATGAGGTGCTAACCTCGAGAATGTGGACAATATTAAATCTCAATCAGGTATCTCAATACGGTGCTGTAAGATATGTAGGCCTGAAAACTAAGGGGCAGAAGCAGGAATGGCTCCTCTTATCATCATCCTCAATTACCTTCTGTAGGAATTTGTGTTTTCTGCTCCCTAAGTAACTGGGTTACAAGTCCTTGTCCCCAAAGGGAACTGTTTTGGTGAGGAAACACAGTGAAAGTTCTGTTGAACTATAGGTGCCTCCGAGACACTTGGACTATTTTATCCAAGACTAACAGTGAGAAAAGAAGCCATCCTAATGCAGGTATGATTTACCCTCATTCATAGGCGGAGGCAGGGCTGCTTGCCTACAGTGGGGATGTGAGGAGAAATGTAGACCCCAGGTCATCCACTAAGGTGTCTCGGTGCTCCTTGGCCCCCAGTATAACTGCAAAGAGACTTGGGTAGCAACCTTTGGGTAGCAGACCCCTCAGGAATGAAGGTGGCCACCAGAGTGCTGCGCCAGTCTCCTTCAAGAGAGAATCTGCAGCAAGCAATATAGTGAGCTGGCATCTTACAGCCGCCACACCTGAGGCTCCACACAGAACCACATTGAGGTCATATTCTCCAATGACTGAAAAGGTGATCAGGCCATTCCTACCCAATTTGGGTGCCCTTTAATGGGCAGTCTTTGCTCTGGAGTACCATGTAGGCTTGGCCAAGATTTTCTCAGAGCTGTATTACAATCTAAAGAACTTTCCACCACATCCTCCTCCTGCCTCTCCCTTCACAGGTATCAGGTCGCTATTGTGAGCTGAGGCTCTTCCCACTTACTCCTGTTACCTCTTTGTCTTTCATAGATGTCTCACAATAAATATATTGGCCTCTTAATTGTATCTTAGAATCTGCTTCCCAAAAAATTCAAACTGACATAATAAGTTCATTCTAGTTGGTTAATCTGTTTTTCATCTTAAATGAGAGGAAAGCTGGGTAGGTCGGTAGAGCTAGGTCATCATTTTAAGTCCTGACTTAGCCTTTCTATATTTTGTAAAAGTAAATGGGAAGAATAATTAGAAAAGTATTATTAGTGTGCTTCTTTATCAAGTCTTTATTGCTCATAAGTCAAGGAAATGACAAGCCAAAACCATTCACTACTTTCCAAAGGAAATATCTATTGTTGGCATAAGAAGAAAATTTAATATAAAAGCTTAAACCGGGCCTCCCCGGTGGCGCAGCGGTTGAGCGCTGGGTTGCGAAGCTGCCCGTGGCCTCTGTGGCGCTGGTTCGATCCCCGGCTGCTCCCTGGCCACCAGAGGAGGGTCCCACATGGCGCGCAGACCTCTCCTGCCGCCCGCTGCTCCCCTCAGCAGTGTACTTCGGTCCTTCTGCCTGTTCTGCTCCCCGCTCTGGCTCTGGTGAATTCTCTCACCCTCCCGCGCTTCTGACTGTACCCAGTGCATGTATAAACAAAACAAACAAACAAACAAATAAATAAATAAAACATGCCTCTATTAAAAAAAAAAGCTTAAACCAAAAACATTTTCATTGCTCTCATGAAAGCTAAAACCTGATGCTTGAGTTTTGTTTTACAAAAACCTAGTGTATTGGAAGTGTTCTAAAAGTGACAATTCATGCACTTTCAATGATGTTAATTAATCTGTTTTTGTTTCTCCATCACATATTGACATGATCTTTCATTAAAGGTGGTACTTTATGCTATAATCATGTAAACTTTCATGTTGGTCATATGATTTTTCTGCTGCTCCTTGGCATGGCACCAAATAAGTAAACTAGGACGAGGGCAACTTTGTGTTTATGGAACAGCAATCAGAACATTAAGAATGTGCAATTCATGTTTAGGCTAAATTTGTGTACGTTTTAGCAAATTTATGGTATTGAAAAACATAATCCACCCTTCTCAGAAAGAGTTCTTTTTTACTAAAGAAAAATATGCTGGCAACTGCTCTGTTTCCATGGATTTATGATACTAATAGGTCCTGAAAATAAAACCGAATCTTTGCCAAAATCTTATTTATGCTTTATATCAATAACATGCCCTTTATCCCTATTTATATGCTTGGAAAACAGAGAAATAACACTGATTAGTTAAAAATCCATTAATTAAAACGCCAAAGAACTAATTGGTGGGGGGAGACAGATGGGGACTGAGACCTAACACCCTTTATTTTTTATGAAAAGGAGAAAAATTGCACAAAAATCATGAGGAATTAGGAAAAAAGCAAATATTCTCCAGAATACATTTGTAAGTGTATATAGTGCAAATTTAAACTACTTTCAATATCTAGTGAGGGTAAATCGCTAGTTATAAACTTAAACAAGATAGTTATGCCTACGACATTCTATTTACAGACACAACTATATTATGCATCTAATTCTTTAACTGGGTAAGTACAAAAAGAGGGACCAGAAGATTATAGGGTTTAATCCTCAGTTAACTAGAAAATCAGATCAACAATTCCATCCCTTAAACAAGTGGCTCTTAATCTTAGCTGGACGTTAGCATGATCTGAGGAATTTTCCAAACTCTTAATGCCCAGATCCCACTAATAAAATCAGACTAATAAAATCAGAATTACTGTGTTGTTGTTGAACTCCACAGGTAATTCTGATGTGTGGTCAAGATTGAGGTCCCCCACTTTGGAAACTACAATTATTTTAACTGTTAAACCCTATTAAATTACAGATTAAATCTCTACTACTGAATGGAAACATTTTTGACAACGGACCTTTAATTTTAATAGAGTACTGCAAAAAGAACAAAATCCAAATTCCTGGTTAACATTATGTCTGATGGTCTTCCAGTTCTGGGGGAAGCCCTGTGACCCAGTTCTGGGCACTGAAATAGAAGGGAGGGACCCTGCAAGGTCTTCACCTGGGATAAAAGGACAGAGATCTTGGGAGAAAGGGGAAAATGAATTTCATCCCTTTCACTATTGTCTTCTTCCTGAACTCTGATACAAATACTGAAACACAAATACATCTTTCAATTAGAAAGCAGCAATGAAAGAAATTAAAGACAAATACTGTATGAGCTCATTTATAGGTGGAATCTAAAATGCTTAATTCTTAGAACAGATTAGTGGTTGTCAGAATTGGGGATGAGGGAGTGGGAAAATGAATGAAGATGGTTGAAAATTACAAAAACAAAGTCAAAAATCAATAAGTATGAGAAGGAAAAGCCAATGCACTGGTAGAGTATAAACTGAAAGAACTTGGATCACTGATGACATTGTCAAGTCACAGAACTACAGCCACTATCTTCAGTTTTTATTGCATGAAGAAATATATTGCCTAAGCCACTATTAGCTGAACTTTCCATTATTTGCAACTGAAAGTATTTCTAATGGCTACAACTTGTTATGTATCAATCAACATTTACTACTGGCTAATAACTGTACAGGTATCACTTTTGAGCCACAGCAACACCAAAAGATAAGTGCTATTCTTTCCATTTTACATATGCAAAAACTGAGACCCATACAAATGAACTGTCTTGTTCAATGTCATACAGACCTTATATTCTAAGCCAGAATCCAACACCAATGATCTTTTCCTCCCGGTGATTAATGTATTATTATGAAATAATTAGTTCTGAGATTAATGCACTAATGCACTGCCGTGATACTGTTACTCACCTCTTGGATGTGTGAGTCTAGGGGCTCTGATTAAATTGAATGCTGTATCACTTAGGCAGAGCATCTTATGTTTCTAGGAGTGCATATAATGTTTGACATCGGATTATTAGAAATGAGTAGAATGGGCTTAGCTTGATTACCTGTAATATTACAGGATAAACCTCTTTTGTCACTCTTGTGCAAAATCACAAGATATTTTCAATTCACTTCAAACAAAACACTCAAGTCAATGCATTATTTTACAGCAAAGAGATTTAATAATTATTTATAATAATCCAGGACTTTGGTATGTGATAACTTTTTTCCTCCTCGGTGAAAGGCAAATAGTAGAGTTTTGATGTATATGTTTAAGACAGCTACAGCTATGGGAATGTGTTCGCAAGGATGCAGGGTGCTGTTTTCTGTGGAGTTGAACACAGATGTTGTCCCTTCCAGGTATTGTGCTATTTTGTCAAGATATTGCTTTTGGCTAGCACTTACCATACTATTTGCCCAGTAGACATCGCTGATGGACTTCCTGCAGTTCCTGTTCTGTATTCTCTTCTGTAAGCATTTACTGGAGAAGGGTTAGGAAAAGTAGTTCATATCCAGCCATAATGAATTAGAGTCAGGCTCACCCAAAGCTATTACACATTTTCTTCTCAATAAAATCAGAGAAGATCTACTTAAGCTGCCCTTATGAGAGAGCTGAAATGCAAACATACTTTGACTTAAGGCAGACAATACTTATCGAAATCTATGTGAATAGTGAGATAGGTGCCTGAGAAGTAATAATGGCCTCTCCCCTCAAGAAGCATCCAGTCTGATATATGACTGGTTTCAAACCTTAAAAAGCAAGAAACAGCCAACTAGAAGACAGTAAAATCTAAAGCATGACACACTGAGATTAATTCCCAGTTCTTTACTCCTCATATTGAGTTGAGCGGTGGCCCTTCAAAGGGATGTCCGTTCTAACCAGAATTTGTGAAATTCTTATTTGGGAAATGCGTTTTTAAAGGCGTGATTAAGAATTTCCAGATAAAATCATCCTGGAGGGCCCCAACAACTGTCCTTAGGACACAACACAGAAGGCCATGTGGAGACAGAGGCAGAGGTTGAAGTCATGGCAGCAACACGCCAAGGAATCACGAATCACCAAATGTTGGACAGGCATAGGATTCTGCCCTTGAGGCCTTGGAAGGTGCACGGCCTTGCCAACAACTTGAGTTGATACTCCTAAACTCCAGAGCTGCTAGAGAATAAGTTTCTGTTATTTGACAACACCAAGTTTGGGTGCTGTTTTACAGTTTCTTCAACTGTAAAATGAGAATGACATCCTAACTAGTCTCACCTCAAGTGGAAAATGGGATTACTACAGTCGGGACGAATGCGCACACATTAAAAACAGCAAATATTTACTCAACACATTTTGGTCATCCACTGTGCCCAGCACCTTTCACATACGCTCTAGCTCTCTCTACTATGCAGGTCAGGAAACCAAGGCACAGAGAAATTTAGTACTTTGCCCAAAGCCACGCAGCTGGCAAGCGAAAAAGTCGGGATCACAACTCAGAGCGACCCCGAGAGATCCCTTATATCCGCCACTCTAGTTTCCCAGAAAAGACACTAATGGACCACTCAGTACCGGACACAGGATTAACTGCCTCTTATTAAACGCACCAGAGAGGTCTCGGTTCACAAACCAGCCAGCCAGCCCTCGCGCTAAGCATCGGGCCTTTCCCACGCCCAGAAGCGACAGGGTTAATGACGTCACTTTCAGGAGCCGCTAACACGTCCTTGTCCGACGGATCCTTCCGAGGGACAAATTTGCCTGCGGCTCAGCCCTCGCGCCTCTAGATGAGATAAACACAGGCGGACCAATAGAAATGCCGCGTTTCCGTTGCTCCCTGCTAGCCCCGCTGCGGAAAAGGAAAACGTGGATCCGGGGGCGGGCCAAACTGCGGAAGCGGAAACGGCGGCGGCGGATTTGGGATCCGCGCTTGCCTGGGCCCCACGTGTGAGGTGAGTGCCGCGGACCAAGCCTCCGCTCCTGTAGATATTCTCTCCCCGGCTCTGCCCTGGGGCGGGAGGGTTTCTTCGGACCTCAGAGAGGGTAGAGCTGTGCAGACCTGTCAGCCGCTGGGCGGTCTTCGGTGGCCATTTGAATTCCGCGAGTTTGTGGATTCACAGGGGTCTAGCGACGAGGGTGGATTTAAGCTGCTCTTCTTACCACTTTGCTCTGAGAGTGCTTACAGGTTATCCCTGCTGCTTCCGTCAAGCCTCTCTGTGGTTGGTTTGAGAGATAGCCACGTGTTCATCAGTGCTCAGTGCCAAGTTTACAGCCTGAACGTATAGTTGTAACGAGTGCTGGGTAGGAAACAGCTGAGAGAGGAGAGGGGCGTCTGACGAAGTCATCTTTAAGGCGAGGCCAAAAACATTGAAGAGCGGCAACTCCAACACCTGGAAGCCCAGGGAAAACCACTTTAAACTTGTTCTAAATCCCTGAGGTGGGAGCTGTGGAAAGGGGACCAATGTAGTGAACTGGGGGTATTACAGTACAGGATGCAGTGTGACAAGGTTCTTTAGGTTTTGCAGCCCATGGTGGGCATTTAGGTTTTATTTCTCTACAGTGGGAAAATTTCAGTTGCCATTTGTAGAAAACATTGAAAGCTTATAAGAAAGGGACACGCCTGATAGGCCCGGGGTTTCTTTAGAAACTGTATATAACTTGGGTTATTATTGATTATGTAATTGGAGATTATTGATGGTAGTTTGGATTAGAGTGGTGGTAGTGGAGATACAAGTGGTGTTTTTAAAGGGTATTCAAGAGGGCTTAATGATGGATTGACTGTAGCGGTCAAGGGAGAGGAAAATATCAAAAGTAAACCTTAGGTTTCTTTGAGCAAGGAAGTGGATAATATGCCATTGGCTAAGCAAGTTGCGTATTGAATGTTTACTGCTTTCAACCTGATGTGCGAAGTCTGCTGGAGAGAAGTAAAGAAGGATCAGTTACATGTCCCTATAGCTCTGGGAAATGTATTACCTTCTCAAGGCAGAATTGGGTTAGAACTCTGTTGCTCCCTTTGATTATAACACTTATTTGCATTTTAATTATCTGTTTGAATGTCTACTAGACCACATTTTGACTTTTTTTTTTTTTCCGTAGTCTTTCAACCCAGTAGCTTTCATAGCATATAAGCAATCAACACACTTCAAGTCCGGAATGTTAAGTTGTGAGAAGGCCATCAAAATGTGCCATAGGAATAAGAAGAAAACTCATTGAAAGAGGGGGCATGGAGGCGAAATTGCCTTTGAAGCTTAATTTGGAGGATGGGTAGAATTTCTATTGCTAGAATGGCTTTAAATTTTAGATCCTAAAAATAGTAAGGAAGTAAGTTTGACTTCAGTGCAGTATTTGTGAAGAGGGTAAGTTAAGGCCAGATTTTGATGTCTGAATGCAAGCCTGAAGTTTTTCCTCTAGGTAGTGAGGAACTTTTGAAGGTGTTGGATCAGGGAAATGACATGAAATAAGTGTATTAGTGGGCAGTTAATCTGGCAGCAGAGAATGGATCATAGTCCACTGGCTCTAAGGGCAAAAAAACAATCTCAGTAAAAGAGAAAACTTGGAGGGGGTAATAGAGTGGAAAAGGAGACAATTCCAAGAGACACTGAAATGTGATGGTTGAATATGAAGGTTGAGCAAATGGGTTTGAGTGAAAGAAGCAAGAACCCAAATACTTTATGTTGTCTGACTCCATTTAAATGACATTTTTGAAAAGGTGCAAAAGTAGAGGGATAGAAGAACAGAACAGTGGTTGTAAGGAGAGCCAGGAGAGGGTGATTACATCCTCTACATAGACCCCACAGGGGACCTTGTAGAGTGATGGAACCATTCTAATGGGCACGCTGGTGAAAGAGACATAACACTTGTCAAAATCTTTAGCAGTGTGTACCAGAGAGAACTTAACAGTATGCAGACTGCAAATAAATAAAACTATTAATAATACAGGTGTATAAAATAACCTTATGAAGACGTTGGTGGGAAAGAGTTGACCTAAGTAACTCTGGAAAAGGGTCTTTTGAATGGATATTGTGAGGGAGAAAACAAAACAAAAGAAAAACCAACCAAAAACCTGTAAGTAAACACTGTGCTATAGCTAGTATAGCTAGTAAATTGTATTTCAGGGATGTAGAGGTAGACAATTCTAAAACTACTCGTGTGCATGCATTCCTTACACAAAGAAAGAGAAAGAAGTTACCAACAGCAAGAGAGAAGATTAGCTGAATCCTGTAACACATAGTTAGAATTGAAGGCATCACTATGAACATTATTTAATAGAAAAATAATACAGGTTTATTTGTGCACATAGGTTAATATGTGTACACAAATTACTTAACCCTTTCTGCTGAAAAGACCTAGTAGCAGTGACTTCCCAATGACAAGCACAGCTTGCATTCTTATTCTGGTTTTTAAATGCCATGCCTAGTTAAAGAAATCAGGTTCCTTGAAGAAATGGCTTGTGATAGCCATAGTGATAATGTGATGCTTGAGCCATAAATGATGTAAAGAAATTGAGTCACTCAAGAATGGTCCATTTTTTCAGAATTATTCCTAAAACCTAGACTAGAACAGCATTTTCCAGATATTTCTTTGGAAACTTCTTTGAAAACTTAGTGGTTTTTCACAATATTCCAAGTAGGAATATACTACAAATTTGAGCCTGTACGTGGTGTCCGATGACTTAAATTAGCAAAGGAATCTGAAAACACTTACCTTAGAAAAGCTTAGTTAATTATTTTCATTTCACTCAGTATTTTCCAAATACATTTCACTCAAACTCTTCTTAAATTTGTGGATATCTAGATGAATTGATTGTTCCTTAATGGAAAATGCTTGTCTGGAAATACTTGGTATATTGCCTAAGGATCCCTAACATCTACTTTACAAGGTCAACTTGAATGTACAACTTTGGAGAATAAGCAAAATGACTTGTTGCTCTAGATACATTCCTCTACTTTCAATAAATAGCCTTTGAGTGTATGAGGGATTTTCTCTCTTGTCTCCATGCACTGAGGGAATCTCTATACCCAGAAGTAGCCTGTTAGGCATGTTCCTGTAAATGGAATAGTAAATATTTCAGCTTAATCATATTTTGGAGGTGACTGAAAGCAATTTCATTGCCTCTAAAAGAATGTCAAGGATTTGGAGTTTGTCTGTTGTATTAGAATGGAGACCAAGAAATCAGATGGCAGTATTGTCACTCTGTAGTCATAAAGTCTTCCCAAATTGCAAAAAATGCAAATGCTGACTATATATAGTACTTAATGTAAACTATATTCTGTTTTTAACTGGTGATGTTGCTGGAGTGTGGCTTCCAAATACATCACACATTAGCCAGGTCCGTGTTTGTTCTTAGTTTTAGTATTGTTGTCTTGTTTATTTTCAGTTTTAAGATGGCGAAAGCAATAATCGGTGTTCCTGGACCTTTACTAGAAAAGGAGTGATTCAGTTACCCTTTTGGATTTTGTTTTTGTTTTCTAGAGTTGCTATGATGGAAGTCAAAGGGAAAAAGAAATTCACAGGAAAGAGTTCAAAGGCATCACAAGGAAATAAACGAGCTCATAAGCACAATGGTAAGATAATCTGCATTCATAGACTAGGATTAGTATTAAAGTAATAAGGAAAAATTTGTATTGCTATGCATTAGTTTGCTTGTTCCTCGTGACATACAGATATTTAAGAAATTATGAGAATAATTGGGGAATGCTATGCTGATGAAAGACTTTTTATCTCCATCAGTGATGCTATTGCCTCATCCACACTAAGTCATCACAACTTTCTGTACAGTGTTTTATAAATTGTACCACTACATTTTATCTTCAAGGTTTCTAATTGCGATGTCCTTATTATTCCATCAGGTGTCAGTATTGCAAAATAGAAAAGTGAGGGACTGTGTAAATGTTTCCTAAGTAATTGTTTTTTCCTTTAGCAGCAGTCTTAGGGTAATGCTGCAGCAGTTTTCATCTTAGATGTTGAGTATTCAATTTGCAAGCTTTGTTTGCTAAAGATTTTTATAAATTAACTTTATTAAAGCCTTTGAAACCTTTTTTTTGAAAATAGAAATGTTGCAAAATTAACATCTTTGCTGATTTCAAGTACATAAATTTCAAGTATGCATTTTAGTCTTAGACTACTGTTATTAAATCATTGAAAATCATGTGTCAATGACAGTCATGAAAGCAGAATACAATGCTCGTTTAATGCCTCATCTCTACTGTATTCTTAGAGAAATACAAGAAACTGACTACAGTGGTTATCCCTAGAATATGAATAGCTTTGATCAGGCATTTCTCTACTTTCTAGATATTTTATATTATAATTTTATAATCAGGGTTCACTTTTGATTTTTTTTTTAAATCCTACCTTGCTCTGTATATGACAGTAAGACAAAGTATGTTTCACTAAAAATTAGCATGGCATTTTCTAAAATTGATACAACCCAGTGGATAAAGGCGATCTAATCCCCAGATCATTGAACTAATTATTTGTTACTGTTACTAGATTCTAATTCTTCAAAGACATTCCCAAGAAAAGTTAAGGAAAGTGAACCTAAAATCACATCAAAAAACTTCGAAAAAACTGCCACAAAACCTGGGAAAAAAGGTGTGAAGCAGTTCAAGAATAAACAGCAAGGAGATAAAATACCAAAGAATAAATTCCAACGGCCAGATAAATTTCACAGGAAGAGAAAATTCCAGCTGGATGGTAAAAGTGATGGTAAGCATGATTCCTTCAGCAGTTTTGCCCTGCCTGAACCATCAGCTCCCCCTGCCTGAAATCCCTGAATATTATGCTCAGGGACTCAGGAAGTCCCCTTAGAACCTCCCACTCTTTCCTTAACAGGCAACCTTTGTCCTGGGGTTGAGAAGTAGGTGGGATTAAATAACAGGAACAACTGGTCGTAGTTGTCCTCTGCTGCTTAGAGTTCCTTAATTCCGGGTCCTAAATTACCGAAACTATAATCTAAGATGTAATGATTTCCTATAATAAAAACTCAATAAAAAACATTTCTGTAAGCTAAGATTTATTTATTAAGCACACCAGTATTTGAATTTTCTGAGCACTCTGCAAGAGATGGGAGGGGGTAGGGATGAGGTGGGGTATGAACAGCCAGTAGGGTACAGGCCAGTCATCAAAGAAGCAGACCTTCAATCATCTGTCCTATCTAAATATGTTCTGCCTTGGCTAAGGATGCCTTGGTGAGCAGCCGTGCTCGGGCCAGGCTGGGGTAATCAGCCCATTGGATGGCTCGGCTCCAGAAGCAGTTCCAGAGTAGGTGTGGCATACACATGACCCATTTAACTTGGATTGATTTTGAGCAAGTTGCTCACTGATTGGAAATGTTGGCAGGGTTCCTGTTTGTGTATTGAAACACTGCTAATCTCTTTATCGGGATGTTTGAAGAGTCATTTCTAACCCAGAGTTTTGCTGTCTGCTAGAGTCTACCCCACTTGTGCGTTGTCCTCCACTGTCTCAGACACACATTTTCCAAGTTACATGTGCTGACATACAGATACCTTCTCTGCAGCACTGTGAGAATCTCTCTGGTGTCTTATGTTGTTTTTTCTCCACCGTGGCGTGTCCTGACACTGACAGCTGAAACCTGTGTCTTGGGTCCTTATCATTCCAGTCCCCTATACCTGGTCCCTTCTCTCTTCTCTGCGTAGGGTTCTTCACTGTCTTCCTCTCCAAACACCCCTCCACCTCTACCCCTCCATTTACGCACATTGCTTCCCTTCAGCTTCTCTTTTCCGAACCCCTCTAATTGGTCCAAAATCTTCCTCTCTATCCGAGATTTCTTGGCACCTGTGTTTTTAACACACATGACCTCATCCTGTCATGCTCTAACCCTAGTTCCTTTTGCTATGGGAGATACTATGTTCCTGACATCTCAAAATTGAACTTCGATTTTATTTTCCATATTTTCATACCATCAACTGAAGGGGGTTGAATTCAAGTTAGTCATCCCTAAAGTTGCTGAATCTACCGCAGCCTAGCTTGGCGTATGTCAAGGTGCCCAAATATTTGTGGAATTAAATGAGCTCCGGAGCAATTATTATCCCCTGCTGTATAATACCTGATGCTCTGATATTAGTGGTAAATGAGCCATTTGTTGTCTGTAACCTGATACTAGCAGCCTGGGATTAAATAAGTAAACAGTGAGGGGAATAACTAAATACATTGTGTATAAAGTATAACTTAAAAATGCCATTCTTGAGGAACATTTATTTTCACAGAAGAATGCTTACTACAATGTAATGTTAAGGGAAGAGAATAAGATTCTGAATTTTTGAAGATTAAAGTGTGCAGAGGGAATAAGATAGTAATGATTGTATCTCAGTGGGGATTATATTAGGTATTATAAACAAAATAACTTGGTTTTTGTATAGCATGTATTTTCTAATCAGAAAAACGGAAATAATTAAAAATAGTTACTTCTCCAAAGTGTTCTTTGCAAGAGAGTCACATAAAACCATTTTTTAAAAGTTGTTCTTTCTTTTTCTTAATTGGACTCTTTGCTTCAGTTGGTAAGATACTTAGAATTCGAGGACCAATAAAACCTAATAGATACTTGACTTTTGTAGCATTGACTTCTGTATATATGACAGTAAGACAAAGAATGTTTCACTAAAAATTACCATGGCATTTTCTAAAATTGATACAACACAGTGGATAAAGGAGAGCTGAACCCCAGATCATTGAACTAATTATTTGTTACTGTTACTAGATTCTAATTCTATGTGCACTGTCTTGAGTAAGAGCAGCAGAGCATGAAGTTCAGAATCCTCTGTAGGTTTGAATCCTGGTTCTAGCACTTAGGAGTTATGGGCCCTTTGACAAGGGACTGACTGGTGTCTTTGTTTTCCTGACACAAAAGGGGATAATAATCATACCTATCTCTTAGGGTTGTTGTAAGAATTAAATGAATACATAACAGCACTCAAAATAGTGAGTTTTTGAATGCATTGTTTTTCCTGTTTTATACTAACTTTGTTTTCACCAGGAGTGGATTGATTATACCTAAATTCTAAAATTTTATCATTGAAAGAGATGCTTCACCTTTCACAGTTGCTTTTACAATCCTTTATTTTTCTAAATAGGTGTCCTGTTAAAAACTAGTAAATAGCTGTTAAATGAATGAGTGTTTGGTTTCAACCAAATTGAAAATGTATAAACTGCTCAGAAAATGAATTGAAGTCTAAGTTTATAGGCAGTCATGTTTTTTCCTTTTAGCTCCCACAATGTGTATTAATTCTGATAGTGATTGCTATATGTACTAGTTTATGGCACTTGGGATGTTGAATGTAATTGAACACCATGTCTATAATGGCTAGACTCAGCAGCCAAGAAACCCAAATGGGATGACTTCAAAAAGAAGAAGAAAGAACTGAAGCAGAGCAGGCAACTCAGTGATAAAACCAACTATGACATTGTTGTTCGTGCAAAGCAGATTTGGGAGATCTTAAGAAGGTAATGCTACCTAGTGGCATCTTTACTAGTTCCTTTGAAATGATGGAAGAGTTACAGTGTACCTCGTAAATAGTGAGATGTCCTAAAATAAATGGCATAGCACTTGAGTTATTTAGGGAGTATTCATAACACTTGAGCAGAGGCATCAGTATTTGGATGTCTGCCCATTGCAGAAATGTGTGGAATCATTAGGATGGTGTCAGATATATTTATGAAAATGTATGAGAGTTAAAATGGGTTTGACATTCTTACGGAGAGATTCCTGAGAAAATGAAGGACAATTTCTTATTGGCTAAATTTTTGAGATACTTAAGTATTTGCTATCTTGATATTGTTTTATTATTTTCTTTACTTTTGAAGTTCTGGCTGTTCAGATTTTGATTGATGCATAAAATTACACCTTGTGAGATGAGTTTCTGCTTTTAAGAAAATTGCTTTTCTCTGGCTGTTCTGGAATAGTAATTTTAATGTCAGAGGTTTTCTGCCTTCGAAGAGAAAATCATACTGAACTGGGTGAACATACATAAGAATGGTTTTTAATTTTGTGTGTTTAAAATAGTCTTTTCACTTAATCTATATTTCCTCCTTATTTATAGAAAAGATTGTGACAAAGAAAAAAGAGTGAAGTTGATGAGTGATTTGCAGAAGTTGATTCAGGGGAAAATTAAAACTGTAAGTAGGACATACTGATTGTTACAATTTTAAAAGTTGAAGTTGACTCACTCAGTAAAAGATAGTTGACCATACGTGAGGGGGTGAAATTGTTGTTTTTCATGTATTTGGCTCAAATTTCAAATACCATTTCCCCCCAGTTTTATTAAGAAATAATTGATATATATCACTAAGGTGTGTCACATAATGGTTTGATTCATATACATCGTGCAATCACCGCAGTAGATTCAGCTAACACCCATGCCATCAAATATCTTTTATAATACTGATTAAATAAAAAATGTAATCATGAGGGACCTTACTGCTCAGAAACTACAAACACTATAACGTATTTGGCTGTGTCAATTTTAAACAGTTTACTTAAATTAATATTCTCAAAGTTATCTTTGCAAAGCAGCAGCAGCAATAGCAGCAGCTCGATACCCACCTGATACTTTTAAGGTTGCTTTGAGGTGTGAGTGAGAAAATATATTTCAAACATGTACTTTGGTTACATGGCAGGTAATCAATATATGCACACAACAACCTTATTTATTTTTTTTAATATTTTTAGGTTTTGTCAAAAATACCTGTACACCTCTCCCTTAAGGAAATTTTTCTGAAATCTATGACTTTGATTGTGGTATTCCTTCACCTCTGCTTTGTTAGAATTTTAAAAATTTAGAAATAATCTGAGCAACAGATCATAAGCACTCTTAAACTGGTACTTACAGCATAGTGAAAAATAACTTTGGACATTTAGTTTTGGTTATTATTATCAGCAGCTCACTTAGTGAAGAGCTAATCCATCTAGTAGCTGGGGAGAGTTGGAGAATCAGATTTGAAATATAACTTTTCTAGGAATATAACTGGATATATGAGAAATGGAGTAATTAGCTTTTAATTGCCAGTGTGCATATAGATAAGTGTAAGACTTTAACATCTTTTACTTTAATTTTACATACTTAGAAGAGACTTTATATATCTTAATAATGTTTGGTTGCCAAAGCCAAATATTCTTAAATAATTTATATTAAACAAAAACAATCAGAATGTTTAACTTGGGAAGTTTCCCTCTTAGGGAAAATAGCTTTCAGAGAAATGAGAAATATAGTATGTATTTGGTTTGACATTAATTATAATGATAGGACCCTTATAAAAATGGTCACATCTATCTCTGTCTCAGTGCCATATGGGACGCAGCAAAACCAAACTGCCTTTCTGTACATCTTAAACAAGTAGTTCTACTCCAAGTAAGGTTTGATTTTGTCCATGAAGATCCTACTTTTTTTCTAGTAAGGAACTCTAAAACTAAAAGAAGTAGCAATAAAACATAAATAATATGATCAAAAAACACATCTTCAGAAAAAATTAGTCTAAAGGCCCAAACTTTTTCCTACAGATTGCATTTGCCCATGATTCAACTCGTGTTATCCAGTGTTACATTCAGTACGGTAATGAAGAACAGAGAAAACAGGCTTTTGAAGAATTGCAAGGTATTTCTTATATATTAAAGATTAATTTTAATCATTTATAATAAGTCTTTTTTTTTTTTTTTTTCTTGAAATACCCAAGATCGTCCTGGAAAATAATTCTGTTGAAGAAAAACAGTGTGACCTCTGTAGACCTTTTGTGTTATTATTTGATCTTTGCCTGAGATATATGGAGAAATACTTTTTTTGTGTTCTCAGGGTTGTGCATTCATTTAGTTCTTTCCTTTGTTTCTAGTGGTCTGAAATGAAGTTATCAGATCACTGTGTTGTATTTTGTTTTTCAGGTGATTTGGTTGAATTAAGTAAAGCAAAATATTCCAGAAATATTGTTAAGAAATTTCTCATGTATGGGTAAGCTATTTTGTTTATAAAATATATTTTTATTAGTTTTTCAAAGGCAATGATATTGCATGCAAATGTTATTTAAAAATCTGTGATCATGGACCTCCCTGGTGGCGCAAGGGGTTAAGACACAACCTATGAAGCTGTCCACAGCCTCTGCAGCATGAGTTCCATCCTCCGGCCTGCCAAGGAGCTACCCACATGGCGCAGCAGACCTCTCCTAACTTGCCCGCTGCTCCCTGCAGCAGTGTTCTTGGTCAATCTGCCTGTTGTGTTCCCCACTCTGTCTCTGATGAATCCTCTCAACCCCATACCTCTGGCCTGAACCCCAGCTCTTATATCCATAAATAAATAGATCTTTTAAAAAAAATTTGTGATCATGATAATGGCCCTAAGCAAATGTTTGTAATGTTTGCAGGGATTCTGCTCTTAAAAACAATCACCAAATTAACTTGATGGCATTGCCTTCACTGTTCTTACAAGTATATGTTGAAGCCCTGGGAGAAAAGAAATGGGATAACTAACTTGTAATTAATACCTGTATTTAGAGGCCGGAGGATTTGGAGGGGGAGTGAGACTTAGGCAGGGTTAAAAATGTCAGGATGAGAGGATTTCTGAAATTTGATGTAATTGATACTTCTCATTTTGATTGTAATAATGTGGCAAAATATGCTAACCTACAACAAAACAGTACAGTTGGCAAAATTTTCAAAGATTGTTTTTCTTGAACAACACCTGCTTTATTATTTTAAGATGTAAATAAATATTGTGATTGTCATGTTTTACAGGGGAGTTCTAGAGCATTTTTTATGTATATTTCTCTGCCTTTTTGACTTCTAACCTTCCTCTTTTATCTTTCTACTCAACTTCAAGCTGAGCAATTTAATAATGGGAACTGATGTCTATGGAGTCTTCTGGTCACAGTTCTCAGTGCATCTTAATTCATTTAACCCTTGCATAAACTTTATTCTTTCTCTTTCATGACTGAACAAGCTGAAATGCAGGTTAAATAACTGCTCACAATCTTTCATCTGGTAAGCAGAGCTGGGTTTCAAACCTTGACAGCTGGCTACTGAGTAACTTAAAATGCTTGAGGTAGAAATATGGGCAGTTTGATTTTTTTCCCGTTTCAAGGATACTTCTCTGTGGCAGAACATTCTCTCCATCCCCCATTGATAAGTTGGTCTCAGGAGAAGTAAGTTATGTTTTGTTGTCACCCATTCTCTCTACCTGTGATTTTGTTGGATTTAGGACTAAACCACAGATTGCAGAAATAATAAAAAGTTTTAGAGGCCATGTGAGGAAGATGCTACGGCATGCAGAAGCCTCAGCCATCGTGGAGTATGCCTACAATGACAAAGCCATTTTGGAACAGAGAAACATGCTGACAGAGGAACTCTACGGCAATACATTTCAACTTTTCAAGGTGACATTTCAAGATGTTTTTTCTAGTATTTTTACTTTTCATATGTGCTTTTCTTTAACTTCCATTGCTTTGTTTTCAGACTATATTTTTATTTTGATTGGCCCTGTAAGGAGATTATCTCATGCCATTACTCTCAGAGTATTTTGTTTCTGGTGTAGTGAACAAGTAATCATACTTGAAATCTCTGTCTTCCATACCATGGTCTTTAACCCCCTTTCAATTAAACTACCTTTTTTTTACTCCCTCTGATATACTCTGGGATGTTTCTGTACTTCTGTTTTTTATAGTCAGAGAGAAATAGGAGACTCTTACTAGTCAGTGAAGCTTTGTAAATACCCCCTGACCAGCTCTGCCTTGAAGTACAACAGGTTGCCTGTTGCTTCCTTCTACATGTTCTTACTATTCTCCAGAGAGGAAGGGGAATGGAGAGACCAGGATATAACACAAGGATCAGATCTGAAAAGTACCACTAATGAGAGTAGATCGGCTCAAAGATTTATTTCAGACCTTGGTGTACATATTTATCTCAGGAGATATGGATTAATTCCTACATTGCCTCCACTAATTAGGTTCAACTCCTAGGTTGAACTCAGTACTGTATTTCTTTCTTTTTTTTTAAATGCTGTATTTCTTTTTTAACACTCACTATAGGAATATCCAGCGCTGATTACAAAACACATGGTACAAGAACTTGTGAACTCACTACTTGATTTTACGATTAGGCATGTGCTTGACAAGTACATTGAATTGGTTGGTTGTTTATCCTGGCTCTGTTAATACATTGGTGGTGGGTGTACAGACTGAGAAAATCAAGGATTAACTCCATGAGTATATCTACATCTCTGTAGCAGGACTTTTATTTTGTAAATATAGGAAATCTTAGATGTACTTTAAGTTCATTTAAAATGACTAATTGATTTTCTTTGCTCTGAAGTTGTGCAAACTTGGTTAGTTCATAAGGATTCAATTTTTTGTTTGTTGCAGTCAGCAGATCACCCAACTTTGGACAAAGTGTTAGAGGTTCAGCCAGAAAAACTAGAGCTTATCATGGATGAAATGAAACAGATCCTGACTCCAATGGCCCAAAAGTAAGAAAACTGTTTTTTTCCCCTAACAAACAGCTTTTGAAGGAGAAAAGTTTGATACAGTCCTTGCATAGAAAAGGTGGATAGTTTCAAAAGTATAGTCTGTTATTTAAATTGGATTGTAAAACTTAGAAACCTGGGCATGTGGCCTTCTTGGCACATATAGGGGCGATAAGAGCTTGATCTCTGGGACTAGAGTGCCTCTGTGAATCTTGGTGCTCAGTTAATGTAACCTTGTACAACTCAACCTCTCTGTCCCTCAGTTTCCACATATATAAAATTGGGATAATTAATGATATGTATTTCATAGTTTTGTGAAGAGTAAATGAGTTAATACACTAAAACATGTAGAACAGTGATTTATCCTTAAAGGTGTAACATTTTTTTGCCATCTACTTGGGTGTACTCCATGTGAACTTGAAGTCTTTCATGTCTGACCATTAGCCCCCACTGTACTGCTAGATTTACCAAGTATTACACTAAGGGGTTTGAATCAGTGTGTTGTTATAGTAGTTGATAACAGGTTTGATCCATTCACATGTTAATTCTACTAAAGTTATTTTATGAAACTGATACATTAGTGTAGGCCACTTGGGAGAAAGAAAACAGCTATTAAAAAGAACATGTCCGTTGTGGATTCCTAATCACGTCCATTGTTGGTTAAAAAAATATGTATGTCTTAATTTTAGAAATTAGTATTTAGATTCTAAAAGTTGGCTTCATCTTTGTTGATTAGATAATAGATACTTGTACTCTGGTCTTGGTTATAGATGGTACTAAAGGAAATTTATAAAAGATGTTTTAAATCTTAGTATTCCTGAAAGATGCAGTCCATTTTATGAAATATTACATTGGCCAAAACCATGTCACTTTTTTAGATTATTTCAGAACAACTAAGATTACCCATCTCTGTATATCAATGGTGTCAAGTATCACACTTTTTTTTTTTTTTTTTTTTAGGGAAGCTGTGATTAAGCATTCGTTGGTACATAAAGTGTTCTTGGACTTTTTTACTTATGCACCCCCAAAGCTAAGATCAGTAAGTTATTGGTTTTTAGTTTTTAAACTGAAATAAAGAGCCATGTAAAAATGTCAAGTACTACTTTTGATAGACATTGCCTTTTGGAATTTTCAGACAGTTTTTTCCTTACTTAAAAAAAGATAGTCCACTAAACTTCCTTTAATAAATCTGCCTATTCCATTTGGATTTTTGCTTGAAAATAATAGAATTGACCACGGTTTTATCAACTCTATTTTATTTTTATATTTCAATTATAATCCAGATAGTATACTCAAGCTAACCTAATTTGAACATTAAATAACAAGTGGAAGGATAGTCCTCATTCATACAGTTTGAAATTCATCTTTGCTGATAGAAAAAAAAAAATGTTGATGTTGAAAGATTAGGGGAGGACATTTGTATAAAACTAAATCGACCATGAAAAACTGGACTTTATATCATTGAAGGATAAGGAACAGAGAGTGAAGGTAAATTGCACTGCCCTTCAAGTCAGTGATGGGAATACAAATGAGAATTCATCATTTAGTCCTCTGAACTGTGTGCTTACCTCATCATACAGTGAACTCATTGTCTATTTGCCCTCGTTCTAATAATGAGATAACTAAAATAATGAGACTCACTTCTTTTTAACAAATATGTCATAGGAACTGTGACCCTTTCAAAATAGGCATACGACATAATTTTTCAAGAGTAGACACCCACCTAAACTTGTGACTCAATGACCATAGCAGCAGCTCCTGCTTCTCTTTTGGGGATTTTTTTTCCCTTCATATGAAACACAGTATTTCACAGGTCTGCATTTTACTGAGGCAAGCCTTTATTTTCAGAACTGAGGAAATGATCATTTGGATATAATCAGTATTGGAAATTCTTACCTTTTAAGTGTTTTATGTATTTTAGTAATTTCTAAAAAATCACCTGGAATTTACTTGAAATATAAAGTAATGAGACGGATATTTTGTAACCCTGGGACTATTTTTAAAAGAAATCACAAAAACAAGTTTAGAAGTGATGGAAGCATATTGGAATGTTTGTAACTCTCCAACTGGATAACTTTGAAGGCATTCATAAATTACCAATGTAAGATTAAAAACTGTGTTCTTTAGATTTATCCTGGGATGGGATTATAAGGTGGTTAAAGGTAAAATTATTTGTTCTTTACTGATGAAAATGGTCACCCAACTTTCTTCTGGTGGAAGATTTTGTATTTATTTATTTATTATAAAATTTTAAATTGGGAATAGACTAAAGTTGTGCACTGCAGCTCTTAACTGCCAGAACTCATATACATCCTACATACTAAATATAATTAAGAAATTATATTACATTGAAAATGAAGAATAAAAATTAAAAACAAGTTAGACTTCTTTGTAAGAAATTAATGATTAAGAATATAAGAAATAACATTTATATTGATTAGTGAGGACCTAAGGCTAATTGTTAATAGAGAAATTAGTTTTTCTTAGGGAAATGTTATCAGCTGTCTTTATGGTAAATTATTAATACGGTTTTCAGAGGTAATCCAGTGATATAAACTGGAAAAGAGAAACTTCTTTAAACAAAAGTAGTGTTTAGTTTTCTGCTTATTATAAATGAGCAGAAAGAAGAGCATTTTATTTTTTTAGGGAAGAGCGTTTTATTTTTTTAATCTGGCTTTTCTGTTAGACATTCCTTTCTTACCCCAACTACCTCCTGGACTTCTTTTTCTTGAAAATTCATTTAGAATATGTCTTACATACACTTACTGTATAAACATTGGTAAAACTTTGGTGTTGTGATAGAAATTGCCTGCCAGGAGGATTTGCTGCTCTTGATGGAACACAATGTTTCTTGAAGGAGGTTATGTTTTTGTGTGCTTATCTACAAAATTAAAAATAAATGGAGTGCTACCTATGCCTTCTTTTATTCTGGGTATATAACTGCTCCCTAGTAGGCAGATTTTTTTAAAGGTAGGCAAAATAAACCAAAGCCCTGATTGCATTTGTTTCTTAGGAAATGATCGAAGCCATTCGAGAAGCAGTGGTATACCTGGCACACACACATGATGGCGCCAGAGTGGCCATGCACTGCTTGTGGCATGGCACACCCAAGGTAAGTGTGTCAGGATGAATTGCTTTTCCTTTTATTCTCCCTTGGTCTTTGCCCTGTTATGCACAGACAGCCTTATCTTCACCAAGTTGTGCTTCAGGGCCCCACAAAAATTGACTTTTCTTTAAACCTGATGTTTGTTCTCTACTGGAGTTTTCCTTCAATTATGAAAATCTTGAGTTGTCATTATATGGGAAGGGATCTGTCAAGCAAGTAAATGCAATATTTATGGTAGGCTTAAGTTTATAGAAGTGTTGGTACCTGTCAGGGTCTTAAATCTCTCATTTAATGATGTTATTGGGAAAGGGAGAGAAAGGAGGAGATAATAAACAGTTTCGCATTTGCTCACATGAGTGTTAAGTACTATGGGGGGAAAGGTAGAGATGCATATTAATTACAAAAGTGTAACAAATAGTTATTTCCTTGATCACTATATTTCTCTTTCAAATATAGCTATACTTGGTGCACTTTCTCAAGTAATACAAATTAATTTCTATTCAAAATTGTATTGAATGCCATTGCTTTGCTAAGCAAATTCTTTTGAAGACAGTTCAGACATTGGAAGAGGGACTTCATTTCTCACTATAAAAAAACCTAGCTTCAGTAGGTTTGCCTTAGCAGCTAATAATTTTATGATTCCATATTTATGTGCTAATGGATTGTCACATACTAGTCTTAAGATTATAATAGCTCTGAAAAAACTTCTTAGAGTCTATTGCATTTTTTCATTCTGGCTTCGTAACTATTTCCCTAATGAAAAGTATCCCATGCCTATGAAATTTTAATGTTATATAAATTTTTCTAACAATGAGATACCTTAATTTATAACTAAATCTATAACCTAGCTGTAAGTACATCTGTAACCAAGAGTTCATTGAGACATTTTTTTTTTTTCTTAAGGATAGGAAAGTCATTGTGAAAACAATGAAGACTTATGTTGAAAAGGTGGCTAATGTAAGTATAATAAAGCTACATATTTTCTCTTAATTGTTTCAGACCATAAAATTAATTTGTATCGATGATAAAAAGTTTGGAAAATTTTAGAAAATTATCAGGAATAAAATAATTCATTGTTTCATTTTATTCTTTCTAGTCACATGTATGTATTTTTATGTTTACACAAAATGAAATTTCTTCATTTAATATGTATTGTGACAATTCTGTTTTCATTAGACCTTTTAGGGTTTTTTATTAAGTAATTTTTGAAGAACTCATGTTTACTATATACATACATATTTGCGTATACAAACATTTATATATATTTCATTCCCTAGATAAATATGCCAAATTACGCTTCAAAAATTTGTTACCAAATTTATTACCACTGAAAACAATGTGAAATTTATCTTTTTTTCCCTTAGATTAAATGTGTTGCTCAAAGAAAATTGTAGTGATATTTTGTAGTTCTTTGGAATCCTTTAGAGATGCTGTAACAGTTTTCCTCATGAAATCAGAGGCTAGAGAAAGTCTTTTATGGGAAATTAATTGCATCAAAATAGTATTTCTATTACCTGAATACTAAATAGTTTTCCATAGTATTTCTAGATACATATAATTCCTAGTTATGTATAATAGGAACATTGTAAAATGTTTAGTTTTATATATTATATTGTATGTCTTCTAATTTACTGGTGACCTAAAATTGGCAATCTCAATAACTTCCTGTGATAAATTCAATGAGAATTATTAGCAGCTGGTGAATACATAATACAATAAATGCTAATTCAAACAAGAAAAATTTGTGCTTTGTGATTATATACCTTCCTGGTTTCTATAGATTTGGAGAGTAGGAAGTATAAAAACACTCAGAAAGCTTTAACTTTCCTATAATAAAATGAAATATGAGACACTACTGAGTTGTGTCTGAGGATGAGAATATAATTCATGTATAAGTTAATCTTTTTCTATGACATTTTAATTTGCATATTTTAAATTAGTAAACAATGAAATGTTAATAGAAAGTTCTTTAAAACTATAGTAAAAAAGTCTTTAACTTATGAAATTAGATTGTTTCAATTTTATAATTTGGTTACATCAAACACATGCGCGCGTGCACACACAGGAGATCCTAATCCTAGCATGGACTTATTTTATGAGCCAACATATGGTCTTAGTATCTTGAAAAGAATGTGTTTTGTGGAGTTGTTGGGTATGGCACTCTAAATGTCAATGTGATCAGGCTTTTGATAGTGTTGTTCAGATAACCAAAGATTTTATTGATTTATCATGGTCTGGTTCTATTACTTCTTAGAAAATGTGTCAGAAATCTCCAGCTGTATTTGTTGAATCATCTATTTCTCACTTAAAGTCTCTTCCAACTTCTTTTGTTTTCTCCCAGACTTGGTTTGTGCTTAGACACATTTGTGTGTGCAAAATAAAACAAACAGAAACCTGTGGTGGATTTCTTTTCGTGAACTGACTACATAGTCTTTTTCTATTTTTAATTAATTGTTGGTCTTTCTATAAGGAATGTTGTTCAATCTTTGTAATTTTCCTCCAGTTTGTCTTTATGAACTTAGAATTGGCAATTTCCTCATTTTTTTCTAATTGAAACATCATTACCTAAAACATTCATCAGATCTGGCTAAATGACTTTTGTCTGTTATCAAAAATCAAGTCCTGGGCCTCCCTGGTGGAGCAGCAATTGAGTGCTAGACTGCGAAGCTGCCTGCAGCCTCTGCAGCACCGGTTCGATCCCTGGCCGCCGGTGAGGGTCCCACATGGCGTGCAGACCTCTCCTACTGCGCCTGCTGCTTGCACCCTCAGCAGTGTACTTCGTCAGTCTGCCTGTTCTGCTCCCAGCTCTGGCTCTGGTGAATTCTCTCATCCTCCTGCGCTTCTGACTATACCCAGTGCTTGTATAAATAAATAAATCTTTTAAAAAAATAATCAAGTCCTCAAAAAAAAAAAAATCATCATCTGGGATACAAGGAGAATATACCTGAGGCTCTGAAGATATTACTTATTTTTACATAAAGTAGAAGTTCCTTAAAACTTTCTCACATGTCAACATCACAGAAATAATTTTATTATTTCAAAAGTTGACTCTTGTGAGTCAGAGTATAATACTTGAATGATCTCGTGCTGCTGTCCTTTTTGAAGCCATCAGTTTTATATGCTGAATATGAGAAATTACTTTTTTTGTTTATATTTTAAAAGAACAGGTTTATTATGAAAAGGAGAGAGAGGCACCTGATAGTCACAGGTGGGCAGGAGACTGAGAAAATGAATATGAGAATATTCTTACGGGTTTAGTGTTTAGTGTTTCTATTCTAGTTACATGGGATTTGAAGAAAATGAAAAATCATTGTAATCCTTCAACCTCAATGATTTAAATTACTGTATTTTTCCTTCCAGAATTTTTTATGTACTTATGTATATTTTGTCTGCATGCAGTTATGTCTATGTTTATATAATTTTCTTTTCATGGTTGAAATGCTCTAACATATTCTTCTATGCTGTATATTCTTAGTGAGTCTCAAGTGTTTGACATTCAAGAATGTGCTTTTCTGATTATTTTAAAGTTGTTCTGTTGGTAGAATTGCAGGAAGAATCTATGCTGTTTTGTCTTATTTTTTTAAAACCTTTACTGGCTTCCATTTCTTACAGGGCCAGTACTCCCATTTGGTTTTATTGGCAGCATTTGATTGTATTGATGATACTAAACTTGTGAAGCAGATAATCATATCAGTAAGTAATTTTGATGGTCTTTAAGTTAAATTGATAAATCAGTTGTGTGTACATTGGGTTTCACACATACATGTTTAAAGACTTTGAATTGTACTTTCTACCAGTATTTTGTTACTTTTTAGTTGCCTCAGTTAAGTTTATTTTGGGGGCTTGCTTTATTCCTATATAAACCACAATTTATAAACTAGTATTAATAATTAATATTGTTTTAAATATTTAAAAGAGTAATTGTATTAGGATAACATGACTTTTTAGACTATATGACTTATTAAATGAAAAATTAGCAATGCATTATTGAGATTTGACCAGAAATTAGAGGGATGTAACAAAACAAATGATAGGCAATAGGGATCACAGCCCACAGAGCCTCAAATAATTACCAATCTGATCCTTTGTTAAAAAGGTCTGTTAAATCCCCCCAACGAATATCAAACATAATGCCAAGAAAAAAAGGGAAGTAGATTTGACCTTTTTCTCTTTGCCTTTGGAGAAACTACCTCTGCACAGTTACCCAGCTTCTCAATGTATTTGTCTTAGATTGAGCTGGTAAAGAAAAACTGATGAAACTGTTATGTTGCTTCTGAGGGCTTTCATGAAAGCTTTTATAGAGTAAAATTTAAAATTATTACTGAAATTCAAATGCTAGCTTCTGTTCACATTTCAGCAATTCCTTTTAACCCAGTATAGTGACCATAAAGTGATAATAATTGAATGCAGTTTATTTGATGCCTAAATTTGCATTCAGGAAAACTAAATTCTTAGAAAAACTGCTTCAAGCAAGTATTGGGTTGTCAGACGAGTCATGACGCTTTTCAGAGGAAAAAGTGCTTCATGATTTTTCTGACAACCCTGTATTTCATTCTGCAATAACTGTCCCTTTTTCTGACTTCAGATTCAGTGGCCCTCTCTTCCCTTTCCTTTATTCCTAATGTGTAAGTGATTGTGGGCATATGAACATGTTGCAAGAGTAGGGATAAGAAATTGAAACATTAGCAGCACTGCACAAATTTGGAAACATTTTTAAAATCACATATTCTGTATAGATGTAGGTTATTCCTCTGAAAATTACACAAACCTTTCTGTTTGATACACATGGATGGGACCCTTGGAGAAATTTGTGACAAAAGCTACTTTCTCACAGGTCTACAGGGTGGAATATATGGATGATGAAAAAGAGAATTTACTTGTCATATGGTGGTGCTGTGGCCTCTCTCTTTAGTCTATCTGGACCAGTAGAGCTGAGTATAGTGGGAAAAGTGTATCAGCTAATAGAGGAGATGATTTATTTTCTTAGATGCCAACTCTAGGTCATCGTGTGTGAATTTCTCATGCCCTTGCTGTCATTTTGCAACTTTTCCCTTGACTATTTTAAGATTGTGATGACTTCTTTGCTGTAGGATTGTGGGAAGAAACAAGTTGGCAAGATTTTCATGTCACAAACTGAGTATTTTGACAAGTTCCATGTGACTTTACTACCCTTTTGACTCTGATCAATTGATCGTTTTCATTTCAGTGACAGACTTGAGGGCATAGATCGGCTAATGAATAAATTTATTTCATGAAAATGGAAACAGGCTGGGCTATTGAAAGTTTGCTTTTGTTTAATATTTTCATGACAATTTATGCAAATTTTCAGAAAATTTGCATAACTGTCTCAATGGATTTCAAGAGAAACCAAGCCTCCTTCAGGGTTTACCACAATTGTCTGATAGATTAATTTTTTCCAAAGATTTATCCCACTTAAAGTCAAGGTTGTAACAGTTTTTAATTCCTTGTGCTTATCAATTTGATTCCCATAACTATTTAACCCAATTCCTAATGACTTTCTCATACTTAAAACAGCCTTCCCTGAGAATGGCCTGATTTGCTGATCTAAATGACAAATGCTCAACAGGTTCTATGTGTCATTAAGCTATGTGGCTAATGATAAAATTCTGGAATACTAATTGCTTTTGTATTTCCCCTGCCCATCCACCACAAAGGCTGTTGCAATGTTTTTTCAAAATAACCAAGAAAGCTTAGTGTTGCTAAGTGTTCTGTTCAGTGTAGCCAGACTTCCTGAATTGTCAAGTTGAAATCACAGCATAGTCGCCTGAGCTGTCATCTTTCAAAATAAATGCACCCTGTTTCCCACCTGCTTTACTTTCCAAAATAAACATAATTGAAAAATTTGACTCATTTTACCCTGGAATTGTTGGTATCATGCTGCTGCTTTGACAGCAGTGTTCCTCTGAAAATGAATTAAGTGCACTGACCAGTTGTTGTTTGAAGGTGAATAAATACTGATGTGTACTTTAAGATGTCTTATCTTTTAAATATACAGAAAGGTATAAACAATAATAGATTGAATACCTAGCTTTCCATCATCTGACATGGAGAAGTAAAACTTGGCAAATACACTTCAAGCCCTTTGTCCCAGGTTGCATTTCCCATTCCTGCCCTTACCCACTGTGATGAATTTAGTACTTATATTTATTATAAGTATTTCCTTATCTATATAGGTAGACTTGTATTATTTTGCATGTTTACAAATTCTATATAAATGTTCTACATAAATGTTTCCTCCTGCAACTTACCCTTTTTTTCTTGGCATTATATTTGATATTCGTTGGGGGGATTTAACAGACCTTTTAAACAAAGGATCAGATTGGTAATTATTTGAGGCTCTGTGGGCTGTGATCCCTATTGTCTGTCATTTGTTTTGTTACATCCCTCTAAGATACAAAAACCACTCTTGTAATGTGTATGGAAATAAGCTACAAGTTGGATTTTACCCGTTGGCCATGATACCAGCCCCCATTCTGCATCATTATTCAGTGCCAAGTAGTGTTCTGCTCTATCATAGTTCATTTTTCCATCTTTCTGTTGATGAGCATTTAAATTGTTCACAATTTTAACACTTAAATTTTATTTTCTGCTATTACAGTAATTCTAGGAGTGTCTTATATGTCTCCTTGTTTTTCTTAGAAAACACTCCTAGAATTATTGTTTTTCTAAGCCAGTTAGCCATTTAGCAGAATCTCTGGGTTGCCTGATAGGCAGCACAAATGTTTATATAGAATCAAGTCGCACAAATGTTTATATAGAGTCAAGTGTCCATATTTTGCACTCAGCCATTGCAAAACCTGTTGCATATGCAGTGCTTTCAAAATAGCCAAGGAAGCTTAGTGTTGCTAAGCACTCATTCAGAGTAACTGGATTTCCTGAAATGTCATTTTGAAATTGTAACCCAGTGAACAGACTCCTCCTTTTCTCTGACACTGAGCTCCAATTCAATCTGCAGATACTATTCTCTGATCTTCCAGCCAGACCTGGTCTCCTAGTCCTCTCAGCATCTCTAGTATTTATCCTTGCCATTTATTTATTTAATAGTTAATTGTAATAAGGCCCAGTATTGACAAATTTAGGGATAATTCTTGACCAGGCAGGTGAAGGAGCGAGGCAGGGTGGGGTGCAGATAGTGGGGAAGGAGAAGCACATGCACCGTCCAGGATGGCAGCCACTTCTTGGCTCCAGGCTTTGGAAATATGATCTCCATGGTGATAGATATCACAGTTTTTTTTTCTTTTTAAATGTGGTAAAATACACATAACATAGAATTTATCATGGCAACAATTTCTAAGTGCGGTTTAAGTGTCTTCACATCGGCTATCTTCACATTGCTGTGTAGCTAGTCTAGAATTTTTTTGTCTTGCAAAACTTAAACTGCACACTTAACTACACCTTCTATTTTGTTACTACAGCCAGAAAGGTGGACTTTGGGATAAATTTGCCATGGTTTTAAAACACTCTGAAGGCTGCAACCCCTGCCTCATGATCCTGCCTTCTACACTAATTTCTTAAATCTCTTCATTAAGTTTCTTTCATACGTTCTGCCTAGATTTTAGCTTCTTAAAGTTAAAACCAGTTGGCATTTCTTTTTTTTCCCTTATAAACAACCTTCCATGGAGGTGTGTACAGCAGGTCCTATAGTAGCATCATTTTGTTAAGTTAATGAGGAATAAAACTATCCCAACTGACTTTGAACCAAGATGATGTTATTGAAAGAACTGCTTGTATTATATATCACTTCACTTAAAATTTCACTTTCTAAGATTTAATGCATATCTTGGAAGTCTCAGTTTTTCATGCTAAGATTTAACCATTTCTTCCCCGAAGTCATATGTGTTAGGCTAATCTGTGTTAGACAAATCTTTAAGTGTGAAACCCGAAGAAAATGTTACTGTACATCAGAGAATATATTACCAGCTCGTGCCACCTCTTACTCTTGTATTAAGAAAAAAAAGGAAGCATTTATAGTTCCTCACTACAGACATCTTTAATTTTCTTTTTCAAAACAAATGTTTTAAAGCTATACTCCAGACTGTTTTTAAGGACAGCAAAGTTATAGGGTTTTTTAATAAAATGATTATGGAAATCGACCCTGCTTATATATCATTGTCTTTTATTTCAACAAATTAACAAATTATAGCATCTGTCCTCTTTTATGAGTCTGTTAAACTTTAGGTAGAAAAAGGTAAACTAAAAGTAGTCCACATTTTTTTTTTTTCTTCTTATACTTTATTATTATTTTTTTTAATCTTAAATTTTATTTTTATATTCCCCCATACAATTGCAAACGCCCCATTCTGACCCCAATCCTTCCCCTCCCGCCCCCCACCCCCCAAAAAGTGTCTCTGGTTCATAGTTTTTTGTTGATTTTGATTTTCACTTTCTTATATTCATTTTCCTGGTCCCTTATTTAAGTTTTCTAGATTCCTGCTATGAGTGAGACCATCCGGTATTTTTCTTTTTCTTTTTGGCTTATTTCGCTGAGCATGATCCCTTCCAGCGCCATCCATGTTGCTGCAAATTGCATGTGTTTATCTTTTTTGAATGCTGAGTAATATTCCATGGTATATATGTACCACATCTTCTTGATCCAGTCATCTACTTTTGGGCATTTGGGTTGTTTCCAAAGCTTAGCTATTGTAAACAGTGCTGCTATAAACATAGGGGTG